AAAACGTCCAGGCACCTACAAGCAAGCGCGGGAACTTATTTCCTTTTCTAAAATGACGGTCTCACGTGTCAAGGAGCACGCCCCTCACCGGTACCGGTCCCCTTGGTACTTCCTTCTATTCTTCACCCTTTCATTATCTCGCGTCATTCCTTTTTCCTCCTGCTTCTCTGCATTGGTGGTCTCTTTCACTGCACTCTATTTCTCATGATTTTCATTGCAGTCTGACAAGATGTTCGTGAACAAACATGCGAGCACATACTCCCGAGTTCTCGAATTTGATAATTGTCCCCCACACAATGAATTACACGTAGTATCCGCATATCCCTTGTTTTATGATCCATTTTTACTATCTGCAGTACCATCCAAACGTATTTTCAATTGGCGCAGGCTTCTGTTCCTGGTTACAGTCCGGCGCTCTGTCTGCTCTATTTGATGGCATAGGCATTTCCATACATATCGATGCCGTGATCATGTCGTTTTCTCGTGCAGATTTTGAGAGTTTTCTGTACACACACTGTAGCATGTTCCGTCATTTTCTCGTAGCCGCTCTGTTCTCTTTATCAAAGATATACGATCCAACACCGTCGAAAATGTGAATAAAATCGACAACAGCGGGTGCAAGCATGGTTAGATGAGAAGGATATAGGGACACATAACCGTGAGCTTGAGTAGACAAATAAGCCGAGAGTTCGGAGTGATATGCAATTCTACGGAGTTCGCTTGTTTCCGAACTTCAGATAATCTTATCGAGGAGTATTACCGCCGATCAGGAAAATCACTAATTACTTAAGGCCCCGCTCGGCAAACAGAATCTGGGGTGTTTGCATTGTGAATGACGTGGCAAGGTTTGAAGTCGTTCGAAGCAACCGAGAAAGATCCGAATGATAACAGATTACCAGCTGACACCGGGGTTTGGTTACCAGACACCAACGTATTCAATAGGACAGACGGGGCCTTGCTGTCCCCTTTAGTCCTCGGTCTCAAGACGGACTGTCTTGATCTCACCGAATGAGTCGTTAACCTCTAAAATATCATTTTCAGTATCAAAGACCCCATTTATAAGGCGAGCTGTCATGTCTTAGGCTCAACCCTCATGCTCTTCGAATTCACCCATCTTCTCGCTTTAGGGATACCGTGTATTGTTGCCCTGGTTGTCGCTTCGGGTCTGACTCGCAGACGTATCTACCCTTTACCTCTGCCGCCTGGCCCCCGTCCGCTACCATTTTTGGGTAACGCGCTGCAATTGGATACTAAACGACCTTGGCTCACATATACTGCGTGGGGAAAGTCATATGGTTAGTAGCAGATCAATGGCCCTTTTTCCAAGCTCCTGGATTCAATTTCATACCTGATCATAGGAAAAATCATTCACTGCCGCATGCTTGGGATCGACTTGATCATCATAAACTCCGAAACCATCGCGCGAGAGTTGCTGGACAAGCGTTCTGCGAATTACTCTACTCGCCCCGTTATTCGCACCAACGAATTGTATGCATTGCCGGTTTTCATTCATTTTGTTTTTCATCCACTGACGATGCAGAGTTGGGATGGGTTTCAATACTGCACTCCTTCCGTATGGAGAGACTTTACGACAACATCGCAAGATCTTCCATCAAGTCCTCAGGGCCGAAGTTTCGGTCTCATACCACGAGATGTGCTCTCGCCACGCAAATGAACTAGTCATCAATCTCTTAGATGCCGCTAGTGACTTGCGGCAACTTGAACACACTCAAGCGTTCGTACCTAACCTAGTGGTGTCGTTGTGATGTATGGTCCAGTTGACAATCAATCCTTGTGACAGATACACGGCATCCCTAATCATGGCCGTGACATACGGACACCTTGCTGATGGTCATGAAGAATCATTTGTTACCCGCACGCACGAACTCTTTGATATTTCCATTAATGTTTTATCTCCAGAGAGGGCTGCCATGTTCACAGCCTTTCCTATCCGTGAGTACCTCTGTCTCCGACGTAATTCTGAACATTCAGAACGAGGTTGCAGTCGAAAAGTTGCCATTTTGGTGCTTCGGTGGAGCGTTTGCACTGATGTCACGCGGTAGAGAACTAAGTCAACAGCTTTTGAACGAGCCCTTTAGCGAGGTGAAGGCACAGATAGTACGTTTGTGCAGATTTATGGGTGAAAGTTTCGCCTGATCTGTTTGCGTGAAGGCAAATGGTACTGCTTCACACTCATTAGTCGCTGACTTTCTCAGTGAAGCTCACGACGACGCTGACGAAGATATGATGAGGGATATTGCGTTGTCGGGATACATGGGTAAGAGTATTTTTACCAGGATAAAAGTTATCCATTGACGCGAATACGGCATCTTAGCTGGCATAGACACTGTGAGTCGCTACTTGAGTAGTCCCGATTCTTGCTTTGACGTCCCGTAGAGTACATCCGCATTGCAGATATTCCTGCTGGCTATGGTGCTCTATCCTGACGTCCAAGCCCGCGCTCGTACAGAAATTGATCGAGCTGTGAGGCATGATAGAATGCCGTGCCTTGATGATAGGGCGTCACTGCCCTACATTGATGCTATCCTCCGCGAGGTCCTGAGATGGTATCCTCTCATCCCCCTAGGTCAGTCTGCACAAATGTAACTCTGAATAATTGATCCCTGGTACAGGAGTTCCACATGCGACATCAAATGATGATGTTTACGGCGGGTACTTTATACCCAAAGGTTCGAAGTCGTATGATTCGGTGCTGCCGTTGACTCATCTATAGTTCGATCAGGTGCGATAGTAATGGTTAATCAGTGGTATGTCACGGTGGAGTCCGTATAACGGCGACTTGAACTGAACATGGCTCAGGGCACTGTCTCGGGATGAAGACATGTTTCCCGATGCATCACGCTTCGATCCTAGTCGCCATCTAACAGCTGACGGGAAGCTGAAGGACCCTTTCGTCAACCATTTTGCCTTTGGTCATGGCAGGTGAATATTCCACAATTGCTATCATATTCAATTATTCACTTGCCACTGCAGGCGTATTTGTCCTGGTAGGCTGATTCATGGTTGATCTGACAGTGTTGAGGATGACAAATCACAAATCCCCTTGGCAGGTCGTTGGTTTGCAGAGAACAGTTTGTGGACTGCAGCTGCTACCATACTCGCCGTCATGCGCATTGATCATGCCAAAGACTCAAACGGAAACAGGATTGAGGTGAAGCCGGAGTTCACCGCCGGCTTGGTGATGTAAGTAACCTAGTTTGTATTCAAGAACGTGCGGCTGACTCTGCCGAAGTCAACCCCAGCCATTTCACTGCTCGTTTGAGAGCGTGAACACAGTGAGAGAAGGACATCTTCGAGAGATGATGGGTTCGAAGTAGGCTTCGTTTGTAGGTCTTATAATAGTATATGATTGTACAACGGCGTAGAGTGCACTGGATGGCAAGGCTTTGAGGCCTCCGAATCTCTTTCTGTTTCTGTATGGAGAGGTATTGGTTGATCATTGTGGGTATGGTTGCGAAGAAATAGAAATAAAGCTCAAGACGGGGACGGCGGAACACGGACGTCAGTCGTAACATAGTTGTATTTGAAGAGAGAACAAGAGGGAAACGCATCATGATGGTTTAGTACGAAAGTCAGGTGCTAGGTAGGAGGGGAAGAAGAGTCATGGTTCCTAGTAATTGATTCAGCCCTTCGCAGTATGATAAAGACGGAACGAATAACTGAGAACGCTCTCTCTGAGAGTCTGAGAGTCCTCAATTTTGAACTGGGGCACATTTTTATATAACCCGAGAGAAAGTATGTGGAAAACTCGTTCAGATGGACCATTAAAGCTTGAATTGACTCTTGAATTTCAAAATTTATGTCTTCAGTCGGAACGCAATGCAACTCGATGTCATCACTTTGCAAACGCGTAGTCAATAAAAACGAATTAAGGGATCCGCAACTGCTCCAGGGGAATAAATGAAGGCATGTATGGTATGATCAAAACAGAGACACAGTTCGACTCATCTGGCGGGTGTTTATTTATTTACCATACTGAAAAATCAAATCTTCAACATGAGGCCAGGATCTACCGTCAACATGAAGCACGCGCAAATTGGGGAGCGTGAGCGCATCGAACAAGTGAACCAACGGGTTTCGTGTTGAATGTATGAGAGTTGTGCGAACGATTTCAACGGAAAAGGTGTAGCTGGTTATCACATCCGCTTAGCATGTTGCTTGAGTGCGGGGGGTCTCCGGTTCGAGTCCGGATTTGTCCACTGTTTTGCTCAAGAATCAGAGGCCCAGTTGTACAACAATATAAAATGTTTTGTCGAATCTTCCGAATCATTTCCAAAGAACGACCGGTCGGCATCTTTCCTTTCTTGTGATAAACCAAATACCTATACACATGGTGTCCTCAACACCTAAATCTTAGGTCAGGTAACTTCGAGAAAACCCTTGCACTCAAGTCTAGTTCGAATACCAGTGCCAATGAGAGCTCGGTGCTCCATGTCCATTTGACACTTCCCCACCGTGCACTGACACTATCGGAGCTGCAGCGCCTGAAACGGCAATTCGTGGCTGCGCGCCGGAAAGCTGTGAATTTGGGGAGCACAGAAAAGGGAAGAGGGGAGGGGAGAGGGGAGGATGTGCATTTGCAGAGTTTTTGGAGGAGGGGTTGGGTGTCGGGAGGTGAGTTGTGCGTTATGTCACTTAGGCATCCAAAACAAGAGGGGTTCAAGATATCTAAGAAGTAGTATAGTACAGGGCCGTGATATATGGTACACTACAGAAAACTACGTGTTGCCATCGTGCTTAATAGCGTTTTGATGCATTCACAGCCTAAAGATTTGATCGTGATTCATTCATCCTGCTGAGAACGCTGGTGGTACGTGGTATGGGGAACATCACGATGAACAACTCAAATTCATGATATCGTGATACAACTAGACAATCCCCTCAGATCACGATGAGATACGTCACATACCCTATATTCAAATCCATATATTTGCTGGGAACGCTGGGCATGTTTGGTGCATCTATTTCGTGAACACGCGGGGCTTGTAAATTAGGTGCAGATCTGATCGAGGCAGATAGAATATCAAATAAGAACCTCCATCCCGCCCCATTCTAACACTCTGAACAAAGCCATATCACTTGCTCTTGAAAGATCAACTCCAACTACATCTGCCCACCAACCAACGTCTTTCTCCGCTTGTATTTGTGCGTTAGACCAATCCGTTAAGTGCTCTTTACAGATACCTCTGAACAGCATGAATATGCGAGTCACAACGTCAGGTTGAGGAGAAATGCTCAAAGACGCGGTACGTTCATACGCCGGTTGAGGGACAAACCGAAGGGCGATGTATTCGTGCTTGAGGATAGATGGTAGCCAGTAGCTACCATAGCAATAACCAGTTTTAGTATGATATTCCGAGACATATTTATGTACGCACGTGATAAAGGATGTTCTGGCTTCAGTGTGAAGTCCCAGAGCCTTGAGTGATTTATCGAGGTAAATAGTTACTTCGTCCACTGAGACGACAATGGAATCCGCGTCGCCGAGAGTGCTGGATGTGGGACTGAATACACCCACTGATTGCGGTTCAGATGCTGGTGAACGGGGAAATGCATCCGAATTTGTCCTACAAAGATTCAAACGAAGTTAATTATGAGAGTGATTTCTATATGATGAACTCACTTCGCCTCCCAGAATAAGTACGATATGTCTAAACCGGAGTTCTTTTCAGTCAGATTCCCGTCTTGGTGGGTGCGGACATTCCATTCGACATGCTGTCCATATTCTTGCTTCGGGGTAACAAAGGGATAGATGGCGGAGAAACTCCACTCAGGACTGAGGGAGAGCTTGACAGAAACGTCGACGTCCGAGGGCGAGTATAGATAGATCACTGGCTTTCCACCGACTTGTTGTATCCAAAAATTGATAAACTCTCCATCCTCAATACCGTACGACCCAATACTATTTTCGTGATGCAATCTTGACCCAAGCCATACTGCCATGTAATTGGTAGGACAACTTCCCGACTTGCGAGCAGCGATATCAACAAGTTTCTGCACCCGCGCGGCCCTCTTCACTGTAACAGAAACAATATCGCCGGATGGTAAGACCAGCTGGAGCATGACCTTGCCATCTGTGCTGCTGCGTGATCTCAATTTCAGTAAACACACTCATAGATTGGGGGTGCATACAGGCCGTCATGTCCGTTATCCTCAGGCTGAGGTGCCGACCCAGCCGCGGACTGGTTGCCAGGTAATGAAATAGCCCCAGCGTTACTGGGCAGAAGTGGGACGGGTAATGGTATTTCCGCGCGAGTCACTTCGACGGATGTAAGCAAGTCAATTACTTTATCCCATGTTTCAGCCGTGATATCCACGTAGTGACCTTCGCAAATATCGAGTTGGTTGGTCTGGAATGTCACAGCATCTCTTGGAATGGTTGGGAAGTGTTTGCATGCATTGTCAAGCATGAGCTTATAATATCAATGAGCCATATTCAAGGTTTGAAAGGTTGTTCCACTCACTGCATACGACTTGAGTCGGTTAACCATTACACGTTTCTGACCATGTTTCAGAACAAGAAGTTTTGGGATTTGCTTCGGTAAGTTCGTTTCAGTTTTTTTCTTGGAAACTTTCGGCATAGCACTAGTGTAAAAACAGAAACACAGAGACGCAAAGTTTTGAGTCAAGCAGAGTGCCCTTAGTAAGACTAAGTATTAGTACTTGGTTGACTTGAAATTGTGTCGGCGACTTGGCGAGGATTAAATATTAAGGTGGCACCGCCACTCTCGGATGATCGACATGCAGATACCATACCTGGTACGTTACATGCTGGTACTGGCAGATAATTCGTCCTATATGATGTCGCTCCATCTAAACGAGTGACAAGATCGGACATAAGGCAGGCAAGGTCTGCCAATGTAGCTGCATAATACTTGGCCCAGAGACATGAGTCAGGGTCTCCCCTAAGTGCTATGGAGTCGTAAAATCTAAGAGAAGACCGTCATTTGGATATGGTGGCCCAAAAGGCTGACAGATGAGCGACCAGCTCAATTTCGGCGACTCCATGAGCACACCAACGATGTGACCAAGATATCCGATGTATCATTCACCTACAGGATTGATGGATTGTATTCAAGAGATCATCCTTATCAGTCATGTCAGTCTTCGGAGCGAGCATAGAAGATGATCAAGTATAAAGGGTATCACAAGATTCAAAGAGGTAGCACTGACACATTTCACATTTCGACCGTTATTGGTCCTTGAAACCATGGTATAGGTATGCTTATCGAGACTTCAGAGCCCGTAGTGATGCCTGAATCCAGGAGTTGGTCCTCGTAGTGTGGGTCATGTATTGCAATGTATCTGGTGCTCAAACGCGCTCAGAGGACACGGTTTCTGCACGTAAGTGGACGGAACTTGTAGGAGGACGGGAAAAATTGGACCCAAAATATTGAAAACGCGTCCAGAGCAGATGCCAAGCCTGAATATCAACGTGCAGAAGAGTAGTATGGTCTTACTAGGTGCAACCGCATATAGGGTGCAGACCCCCGTTTAGAGACTCTTGATCGACGACTTCAGGCTGAACTAATAGATACCGTGAGTTCAAGATTGTCGACGGGGCGGTCTGTGCAATACTTCCAACTTGAAGGAACAGTTGTTCTCCTCGGTGGCGTGCACAAGCGCTGGATGACATCTTTGCACAATTGGCCAGTATAGTCGATGGCGCCTTGCAGGTCTAGTCCTCGATCGTGCATGAGCACAGCAACTATGTTATGCCAGTGTGCGTCACCACGAGATTGCTCCTTGTTGTATGACAAAATATCCTATCGGTGGTAATATCAGCGGTGCCCTAGCATCCAACGACACAACATGATTACGTTGGACCAAGCAATGTAATCGTTGGCCGCATCCTCCAAGGCCATGATAACTGGATGCAACATAACTTCGTCAGAAAGATCAATCCGAGCTACGAATTCGATGACGGTAAAGGCAACCTTCGTCCCGCTTACATCTCTCCTCATGGCGATATAAGATACCAGATCATACATGTGTCTTTTGGCACGGTCATCTACCTGCTTAACCGCAGCAACGAAGGCCGATTCACATCTGTGGATAAACCGTTCTGTGCAGCCAGGGCCAGCAGTCTTCCTAAAGCAACTGAAAAACCTAACCGCATGACGACCTTTAGAAAGAGTGTACTATGCGATGGAAAAAATGGTCGTACGATTTGCACATTTTTCCACCAAGCTGTTCCGTGTCAAAATTGATGGGATCGTGGAGTGCAAGAATACAGGATTCATGCGCTTCCCGTGCATCGATGACTCCATACTCGATCCTGTCGTCCATAATGTACATCCAGTTAAAAACGTCCGAGCAGACGCGGAGATGGAAAGCATCTGCATCAGGATAGCAAGTGGCAGCCAATGCGCCTACTGTAGAGATACAACACTAACTTCGTCACACGTCACAAGCGGCCGTGAATTGAAGCTATTCAACGTGACTGTCACGGTGATTTTTCATAACTGAAGCTATTTTGTGACATGCAGTAAATTCAATAAAAAACATATAGAGTGCCTCAATGAGACCAAAAGTCGGTGTACATCCTATTCACAATCCGTCTATGCTTTCCACACCCACAATCTACCTTTGGAATGCTGTCAGCTTCGCCATCAATAGGGAACTGCACGGGTATACCCCCGGGTATCAGAGGCCTTACCCGCACCCGTACCCGGTGAAAACCTGTACCCGCTCTGATGGGTGCGGGTTTTTGGCGGGTATGGCGAGCTCATACCCTTACCCGCACCCGTGCAGGGTTTACCCGCGGGTAATACATATAAATATTAAGTTAGCAATTATAAAAATATGAAAAACGATCGTGAAAAAGGACAAACTCGCTGACACGCTGCAGATGGCGGGCAACGACTTCAATCAGCATGGCTCGAGCTCGAAGGAGGATCGACACGCTGCGAACAGCAGACAACGACTTCGATCAGCATGACTCGAGCTCGAAGGAGGATTGACACACTCACCTCCTGCAAACGGCGGGAAACGACTTCAATCAGCATGGCTCGAGCTCGAAGGAGAATCGACACACTCACCTCCTGCAAACAGCGGACTTCGATCAGCGTGGCTCGAGCTCAAAGGAGGACTGACACACTCACAGGTGTTGTGTTGAAGAAGATGGAGGGGCATAGCAGCAGGGTGTGGATGAGTGCAGAGGATGGAGAATGAGGTTGAGGTTGGATAGCAGCGCTGTGCGCAGACAAGTGCCTGATATTGAAAAAAGGGTGTAAATACTTGTAAGTAATGTACTGTACATACATACATTGATTTTAAAAACATACCTTTAAGTTTTGAGAGCAGCATTACCTAGAGTCAGCAACAATAAGATCTAATAGTACGAGTATAAAGAGGAAGCGTTAGTGGTACTTTGAACAACTGAACGCCAAACAATTACCACATTAGGAAGGCACAGGTATACCAGGGGTATGGATTAGCCCACGGGTTTTTGAATCCCGACCCCCACCCGTACCCCAGTGGTACCCGTACCTGTGACCCGCACGGGTTACCCGTACCCGTGCATATGCCTAGCCATCTGTCATGAATTCCAAATACAAACCATTATTCTTTCTTGAACACTCGTAAGACACCCGTTAAGCGCCCACCACAAGCGCCCGTCGTTAGCGCTCAGTCAGCGTCTGTACCTATAACATTCACAAACCTTAACCCCAACTTCTCTATCCCGTTAGCGCCTACTACCGTTATCTCCGACATTCCCAATTTCGACTTTCTTTCACAAGCAATCAAGTCACGTGACTCCAGAACCTTCGAGAACCCTTGCACAGCTATCGCACGTTCCATGACATCATAGGTGTAGTTATATTTAGATCATCGTACGATTCCCTTTTCTATTTAATGATTGGCTAGTTAAGTTCAGATTCAGATTCAGTCTCCGCTTCAATATATGTATATAGGTAGCTCGTTGTAGTCAGTAGTTTTCCAGTTCAAACCTCTTTTGTATTAGCTTACTGCTAGCAATCCTAAGACGTCCCTGCTATCCTCTCTTCTTTGTTAGATAACCTTTGTTTGAGTCCTAGTCTCCGCCCCTACGTTTATTCGTTAAAAGGGTTGTGACATTAGGTTTGAACTATAGGGGACTCCGACTCCACGCATTACCGCTTGCATACCTTTTCTCTTTGATCTGAGCATCTTGCGATTATCCGCGATCCTCAATCAAACAGAACCGTTACACGTTTTATATTGCCCGGCTTAACAGCTGTGACCTTGATTCTATCACTCTCCCCTTTGCTCATTTGAGCGCATTCATACCTATCCGCTTTCGTAGTTAGTAGTCCTATACCAGGCCCTGCCTTACATTGCAGCCGCCAGTATACGGAGGTGTTCACGACATTAGGCGTGTCACTACAACTTTGAGTGCTGGCCCAAAACCCTGCCTGCTCAACGTTACTATAATTTCCTTTTACCTATCACCTTTCTTCGTACGATACGTAGGCTACTCTACCCGAGTATTTAGAGGAATTTCCTAGTCCAGACTCGGTCGCTTGTAAGCTTCGGCTGGAAGAGCACCTTGGCGTTCTAGTTTTCCCACTTGGCGAGTATAGTTGTTACGTACACATCTCTTTTAGTCAGTATCTAGGGAAGAATCAGTTGGGTTTTACCAGGACCCTTTGACCCTGAAGTACGAGGTAGATCCGATCAGATATCGGGGACCGCTTCAGTTTTCCAGATTACATATCTCTTTTCCATCTTCCCTTTTCACCATCTTTCCCTTTCGGAAGAGCCGTTACGACTAGCTCTTCACAGACATCAGTAAATCGGGTTCCAGAAAACAACTGGTACTATGTCTGAACCAACCGCACCAAGAATGCCGAGTAGCAGCGAAGAGTTTGTACAATATGTACAAGAACAGATCGCCGCAAACAATGCACTGTGGCAAAACCAAGTCACGGCTTTGCAGAACAAGAATGACGAGCTACAAACCAAGAACGAAGATCTAGCTCTACGAATTCAGATGCAACAAGCCGAGATCGACAAACTCACTGCATCCCCATCCTTTGGATCATCCGCCGCCTCTACCACAGCCTCAATCAAGATGGCTAAACCCACAGAATTCACAGGAGACAAAGATTCCATCGATGCCAAGATGTGGGCAACCCAGATAGCGCTTTATATGACGCAATGGCCAAGCATCACAGAAAGGCAAAGAATCTCAGTCATGCTTTCGTTCATGAAAGGATCTGCTGCTAAATGGGCGCAATCCTACATTGAAGAACATGCTGATGGAACTCTCACCATGAAGAAGTTAGATGAAGACTTCACCGCCATGTGGGCACAAGAAGACCTTGAAGGCAAGGCAGTTCGGGAATTGGATTCCTTAAGACAAGGATCTTCTTCCGTCCCAGAGTATACAGCTACTTTCAAACAAAAAGCTGCACACACCAGGTTCTCCGACTATGACTTACGACAGAAGTATAGAGCAGGACTTCAAGACCGTGTCAAGTTACAACTCGCTCACATCGCCTACAAGGACAAAGACAACATGCAGAAATTGATAGAGCATGCGATCCAAATAGGACGAAACTTCGAGGAGTTAGATGCGGAGAAGAAGAAGACTTCTTTCTGGACCCCTAACAGGGCCGCGAGGAACTTCGAACCAAGGGCTGGTCCCAGAGACAGTAACGCCATGGACGTCGACGCCAACAAGCAGAGAGGAGCTCCCAAACCTCAAGGAAAGACTGGTTCTTTCAACTGCTACCGTTGTGGTGAAGAAGGCCATATGGCAAGAAACTGCAAGGGCGCTCCAAAAGCGCAAGTGAAGGCTACTGAAGTGCCAAAGGAAGACTCGATGCCCCAATGGTTTAAAGACTATGTCAAAGCCAAAGGAGATAAGGGTTTTTAGAGAGGTCTGAGTTAGAGTCTGCGGACTTGGACCCGAACAATCGTTTCTCAATCTTATCTACGTTCTCGGATGTAACAGAAGTATATTTGCGATCGAAATCAGAGCATTTTTACATTCCGATTACCTTGAAAGGAAAGAATCGACAAGCAGACGTGAAAGCACTTGTGGACTGCGGTGCATCAACATTATTTATAAACGAGAAGTTTGTGAAGAAGAACGACGTAATATGCCGTAAATTATTAAGGCCTATTCCGGTAAAGAACATAGATGGTTCTTTAAATGCCGCTGGATCCATGACTCATTTCGCCGAACTAAGTCTAAAGATCGGAAATCATGTAGAAGACAAAGCAGCCTTCATGATTACAGACTTAGGAAACGATGATGTTATTATCGGCATTGACTGGTTAAGATATCATAATCCAGAAATAGACTGGAATGCAGGACAGTTTTCACTATCTAGATGTCCGCTTAAATGTATTACGAAAAAAGAACAAAGACAAAAAAATAGAGAAAACAGAAAAGCACAAAAACAGACAGATGTAGTTCCGGATCTGATTCCCACAGAAGAGGATGACGATGAAGACATGGAGATGAAGAAGGCGACCTGTGAAGAGGTAGAAGACGAGGATAGTCCTGAAAGATGGATTAGATATAAAGCCTCGGTTGCCACGGAGCAGAAGGTAGCAGAAGAAGCTATGAAAAAGAAGAAGTCTGTTGAAGAGATGGTTCCAGACTGGCTTCACGATTACCTGGGAGTGTTCTCAGAAGAAGAGTCCAAACGATTCCCTGAAAGAAAGAAATGGGATCATGCTGTGGATCTTAAAGACGACAATGATCTTCCTCCGAATGCGAAACCGTACCCCTTATCGCCAAAAGAAATGGACACTTTGAAAGATTGGTTAAAAGCCGAAACTGCACTAGGACGTATTAGAGATTCACAATCCCCAGTTGCAGCACCTTTCTTCTTTGTGGCCAAAAAGGATGGCAAACTAAGGCCCGTAATGGACTATAGAAGGCTTAATGAGAAGACGGTTAAAAATGCGTACCCGCTACTGAGATCTCAAGACCTGATTGATGCCCTTACCGGTGCTACGATGTACTCCAAGATGGATGTACGATGGGGATACAACAATATTCGGATGAAAGAAGGAGATGAATGGAAGGCAGCTTTCAAAACGCCTTTTGGTCACCACGAACCAACCGTAATGTATTTTGGGTTGACGAAACTCTCCAGCAACTTTCCAGACCATGATGAATGAGATATTCAGAGATTTAATAGATGGCAAAACAGTGGTCGTTTATATCGATGACATCTTGGTCTTTACGAATGGAAGTAGAGAGCAACACCAGAAAGTCGTGCGAGAAGTACTCAAACGATTAAAAGAGAACGACCTGTTCTTGAAGCCTGAGAAATGTAGCTTCGAACAGTCTAAAGTCGAGTTCCTTGGGTTGATTGTGGAAAAGGGCAGTGTATCTATGGACCCCGTCAAGGTAGAAGGAGTATTGAAATGGCCTGTTCCCAAATGCGTAAAAGAAATACAAGCATTCATGGGCTTTGCCAACTTCTATCGAAGATTTATACTTGGGTTCTCAGACATTGCCAGACCAATGAATGATTTGCTGAGAAAAGATGCCAAATGGGATTGGACAGAGAGACAGCAAAACGCTTTCGATGAATTAAAGAAGCGTTTTACAGAAGCTCCCGTCCTTGTAATGCCAGATGTTGAGAAGAAAATGAAAATAGAAACAGATGCTTCAGATTACGCAACAGGAGCAGTTTTATCTCAACTGATGGAAGATGGCCTATGGCACCCAGTGGCTTACTACTCAAAGTCAATGAATGATGCAGAGAGAAATTACGACATTCATGACAAAGAGTTATTAGCAATCATTCGTGCGTTGGAAGAGTGGAGGCACTATGTGCAGGGAAAACCCCAACATGTGGAGATCTGGACGGATCACAAGAATCTCGAGTATTTTATGACGAGTCAGAAGTTGACAAGAAGGCAAGCCAGATGGAGTTTGTTCCTGGCGGAGTACAAATTTACGCTCCAACACAAGCCTGGTGTAGTCAATGACAAAGCTGACCGTCTATCTCGGAGAGAAGACCACAGAGGGGGGGTAGAAAACGATAATTCTGACCGCATTTTGTTAAAACCGGAATTTTTCAAAATCAAAGCTGCTAAACGAGGCCAAATTCTCATAGAAGGAGAAAGTTCGCTCATGAAAAAGATAAGAAAGAGCACAGAACGAGAGCCCGAAGTAATGAAAGCGCTAGAAAACGCTAAAAGCAGCACCGGTACAATTGCGCAGAGGAATCGAAGAATGGAATGTTGAGGACGGATTGGTGTTGTTCCGAGGACTGGTATACGTTCCAAACGATAAAGAGATCCGCCGAGAGATATTGGAGTTGTTTCACGACTCTCCACCGGCTGGACACCCTGGACGTGCCAAAACCTTAGAATTGATTTCCAGAAACTATTGGTGGCCTTCAATGACGAAGTATGTCCATGATTACGTAGACTGGTTGCGATCGATGCAAACAAACGAAAGTGTTCCCCAGTAGACCAACGGGACCTTTACAGCCAAATGAAGTCCCAGAAGGACCTTGGCAAACGATCTCGTGCGACCTGATAGTGGACTTGCCGAAGAGTGAAGGATGTGACAGTATATTCGTTGTCGTTGATCGATTTTCGAAACAATCACATTTCATTCCCACCACCAAAGATGTAGACTCGAAAGGAATTGCCGAGCTATTTCTAAAGAACGTATGGAAACATCATGGTACACCAAAGAAAGTGATTTCGGACAGAGGAACACAGTTCATTCGAAGTTTATGGGACAAGTATCAAAAAGATTAGGAACAAAATGGTCTGCTTCGACCTCCTATCATCCCAGAACAGACGGACAGACGGAACGTGTTAATCAAGAAGTTGAACAGTACTTGCGCATGTTTGCTTCGTACAGACAGAATGATTGGGTATCCTGGCTGCCAATAGCAGAGTTTTCACACAACAATGCAGTCACAGTAACCGGTCACAGTCCGTTCAAGGTCCTATATGGATATAATCCTGAATTCACAATATCTCCGAACTCCACATCCCTTATTCCTGCGCCGATGAGAGAGCAGATCAAATGAAAGAAGCACGAGATGATGCGGAAATACTCTAAAAATGGTTAATGAACGCATGAAACGCTTCTATGACCGAGGAGTTAAAGACGCACCTCAGTATCAAAAGGGAGACAAGGTCTGGCTAGACGCAAAGAACATTAAACAACGTCGTCCAAGTCAAAAGTTGTCAGATCGTCGTCTTGGGCCCTTTGAAATACTAGAGAAGACCGGCGAAGTGAACTATAAATTGAAATTGCCAGAAAGCTATAAGATTCACCCGGTTTTCCATGTAGAGTTGCTTACTCCATATTATGCATCTCAAATGATCCCTCATTCACAACCTACCCGACCACCTCCAGACATTGTTGACGAACAAGAAGAATTTGTCGTAGAAGAGATATTGGATAGCCGACAATTCCGAGGAAAAGTGCAGTACCGAGTAAAATGGGAAGGATATCCGATAGAAGAGTCGACATGGGAACCAGAAGAAAACGTTAAAAACTCCCCGATTCTAATCGCAGATTTCCATAAAAAGAACCCCACGGCCGCAAAATCTAAAAGAATCCTTGGATCTATCCTAGATACGGATGCGTTCAAACAGTGGAGAGAGAAAAACATCTGACCATCCTACATTCGCGATGACGCTCATCCTAGAGAGGGGGGTAATGTCACGAATTCCAAATACAAACCATTATTCTTTCTTGAACACTCGTAAGACACCCGTTAAGCGCCCACCACAAGCGCCCGTCGTTAGCGCTCAGTCAGCGTCTGTACCTATAACATTCACAAACCTTAACCCCAACTTCTCTATCCCGTTAGCGCCTACTACCGTTATCTCCGACATTCCCAATTTCGACTTTCTTTCACAAGCAATCAAGTCACGTGACTCCAGAACCTTCGAGAACCCTTGCACAGCTATCGCACGTTCCATGACATCATAGGTGTAGTTATATTTAGATCATCGTACGATTCCCTTTTCTATTTAATGATTGGCTAGTTAAGTTCAGATTCAGATTCAGTCTCCGCTTCAATATATGTATATAGGTAGCTCGTTGTAGTCAGTAGTTTTCCAGTTCAAACCTCTTTTGTATTAGCTTACTGCTAGCAATCCTAAGACGTCCCTGCTATCCTCTCTTCTTTGTTAGATAACCTTTGTTTGAGTCCTAGTCTCCGCCCCTACGTTTATTCGTTAAAAGGGTTGTGACACCATCAATGTCACCCTCACCAATATCATAGACTTCAGATTGTGTTGCAGAGGCAAGACTGCCATTGGGGACATCCAACACGCAACCAGGATAGGTTTGTAACCCCTCCAAAGCTAGATAGTTGGTTGATGTGTTCAGAGGCACATCGCTGGCATCAAGACCACTGTCAGTTTCATCAAATGGAGATTCATCGATGCAGGAACAGTTAACAACTGTTTGATTTCATGTCTAACAGACGATGGAAGGTGGTTCTGCTTGAAAATGCGACCACATTCAAGCCAATCTGAGGCGACAAATGCATCAGTTTCAAGTTGTGGCATGACTGGGAGTGACATTGAAGGCGGACTTACAGTTCCAGTAGGTCCAGCGTTTAAGACCACACCCAGTGTTGCTTGACAGTCCATAGGTGAAACAATGTGCAGCAATAGTGAAGTACTGACTGACTCGGAGATCCGCCATTGACGACAGCGACGCAATAGTATGTTACACTTTGTCACACCTGACTGAAGCTATTTTGGTCGAGTCACAGGTCACACCAACATTTGAAGCTATGAAGCTAAGTGTAAGATGGTCATGGCTGGATGTGCTTGAAGTTAGTGTCGTATCTCTACAGTATGTCCATATCAAGATACTCTCTGATCTCGGCCTCTACAAGTTGCGCTACGTCAATAAGCCATTGATCAGATGCGCGGGACGCCGCATCACGGTGAGGGTTCTGTCGCAAGGGATAGTGGCAATCATTGATGAGGCCAGGTAAAATGAATTGTGAAGGCATGCACTCAGGGGTGGTTGTGTGGGTGACAGTGGAAAACATAATAGGGGTCGTCGGATTCATATTGTGAATGTCGAGATGAGGAACATATAGGTGCAAGATGGTCAGTCTTCATAGTGAATTTTCGGTACCAGTGGCAGTCTTTCTCACTCACGAGGATATCAAGCCTTCTTGAGCCTTCTTTCAATAACTATTCGGCACAAGGTTGCGGTGATAATGAGAGTGGGAGGGACGAGGAGTCTAAAAGGACAAGTATATCTCAGTATCTTGGAAGAACTCTTTATTAATGTCTCATCTACCTAAAAGGACAAGTATCTACTAGTCGTTAGACAATGTATCATGTAGGTAGCATTAAGGACTTACATCTCAGTCTCTTGGAAGAACTGAGATGTTTGGGCGCTTCAGTAGGCGCTTTTAACATATGTAGTTTGACTACAGTTAGAAAATGAATAAGAAACATAAAATAAAGTAGGACGCGAGCCGACGTCATACGTCACTTGCCTTTATCCTTTTTAGCTTGTGCTCGTACCTCTCACTCTCCCCCTGTCCCTATCTCGGATCCATCGGTCTTCCTCTACTCGGATCTCTCGGATTCCAACACTCCCCCTCACAGGCTATACTGTTAATATTAAGCATAATACTCACTTGTGAGAAACAGTCAGGTTTTGCTAGTTCGTCTCTTAGGGCTTCAGTGCCAATGGTGATGCTTAATGATGCTTAACGCATTCACACGATGCTTAATGCTTCAGACACCTCCTTTTGGCGATATTTGACCAATCTAGGACGAAATACCAATTCTTGGGGTTCCCTTGATTTGTTCCTGTAGCCACCAGATCTATGCATCTAGATCGTGGTCCTGGTGGTTCCTACATTGGGTCAGGATCTTGTGGTCGAAATTTCACTAAGTCATTTTCGAGTCGCAAAGGTAAGCCATTGAAGCTCGTTTCCTTTGATTTGTGTAATGAGAGGGAATGTACACTTGCATGATTCAAGTCTGGTTCAATGTTCAACCTCAATAAGATATCTCTTAAGTCAGTTTGCAATTTGCGAGTATGGCGTTGAATTTCATATGTCATTAATGAGCAAGGGCAAGAAAAATTTAACATATGTACTACCACTATTATACGACAACATGTATATAAAAAACGAGGGACCAGAACACAATAAGTCACAAAAATGATATCATTATGATATCAAACAGAAGGTACTGAAAATGGTGTGAGAGATGCGTCAGTAGACAATTCAATGCATTGAGCAAGCATGGACTTAATAGTCCTATCTCCGAGTTCTCGATTGCTTGTTAATTTGGCCAATTTAGTTCACCTGCGCCATACGGGTGGACTCCTGCCGAATACGACCAGTCTTTCGCAGTGTATTTGGATCAGCGGACTCAATAACCTCCATGACCATGTCGATGGCCTTTGTCGCGCGCTTTCGTTTTACCTTGAGTGTTTTCTCTGGTGCGCTATGCTGCACGTCTCCGTTTTGTGGAGTCTCCACTGCAGGAGACGCAGGAGGTACAGATGGGAGAACCGGAGCAGGGAGTGACAGGGAAGGGAGAACCGGGGCAGGGAGTGACGGGCAAGGGAGAACCGGGGCAGGGAGTGACAGGGAAGGGAGAACCGGGGCAGGGAGAACTGAAGAAGGGAGAACCAAAGAAGGGAGAATTGGGGCAGGGAGAACCGGGGCAGGGAGAACTGGGGCAGGGAGAACCGGGGAGTGATGTGGAAGGGAGTGGGAAGGGAGAACCAGAGAGTGACGTGGAAGGGAGTGGGAAGGGAGTGATGGGGAAGGGAGTGACAGGAATGTGAATTGCGGGGTTGCTATAGGTGGCAAAGAAGGTAGTGAGTGCGATGCTGCCAATTGGGTAAACGAATGTGGTGTGATTGGGGACAACTGTAGTGCAGGGGGGAAAGAGTTTGATGAAGACAGGAATGAGCGCAGTGCAGGTGGCGTCCCGCAGGTGGAAGTGCCTGTAGATCCATTGGGCATGCTTGGAGATCCGTCGAGTAAGGGGCCGAGAAGAGGCGGTGGATTTTCCCAATACGGCGCATCAAATGAGGCCTTTGGAATATCATTGAGGAAGGAACTGGATGATTCTGTGGGATCTTTTGTGAATGAGACGTCTTGGAGGCTGTATCCATTGGACGACTGCAGACCGGCATTGGGGAAGAAAGAAACAGATGGGTCATGAAGGTTGTAGCGCTCAGTGGAAGCAGGGGGTGCAGATAAAACCAGAGGCGGTGATTGTGTAGCCGGAGGTGTTGTGGTAAGTGCATCTGGCTGAGAGCAACCAGAATCAAGTGACTGGGAAGCGGATGGGGCAGATGGCATACTACTAGTTGCTAACGCATCATAGTCGAGTGCACGTGTCTTCCTGATGTGCGGTGCTACACCCGAAGTTGCAAACATTGAACATCGAGTCTTTGCTAGTATGAGGAAGGCACTTACGAAAAACTGTGCTAATGAAGTCGACATACGCCTTCAAGTGTGTCTCATTGAAGTGTGGTGTCGCTTGTTTCCAATTGAGACCAGTTGCATTCACACCTGAATGGTAACTGCAGTGCCTGTGAGATTCCCGCACTCTCAAATCAACAACAACAACAACTTATCTACCTCATAGCATTTATATTTCCGTCCAAACGTGGGTCTGGTCCAGCGCCGATCAGACTCCATTCCCAACCCGTCATGTCTTTGATGACTTGCATGAATTGTGAAATTGGACCCATACACTCGGTGAGTGCCCTGTGAAATCACCCATTGAGCAACTTAAAGCGGGAGTGTTGTAGAATGGTTCATACCTAGCATATTGCGCATTGGTAGGGGCCCCATCTGTCTTCTTGAGGACTTCTGATGCCTTGGCATCCTGTTCTGCCTGAACCTTTGCCCTACACAAGGCCTTAACATCCTCACTCACATCCTCATAAGCTGTGCGTGTCATCAATTTCACAGCTCCCAACTTTTCACTCTTGGTAAGGCTGCCTGAAGCGATGCTCTCCTTCACTTGCGCCTGAACATCATCCGCATACCTCATCTTTGAGAATACTTCAGCCTCTGTGTGGATTCGTGTGCCCTTGGCTTTGTTGGTGAGCATCTGCCGAATTGTTTTGCCCATTGCGTTTACAGCAGAGCGGCCGCTTTTCTGAGAACAGTAGTTAAACCAATTCTTGATTTTCTTATGAAACGGTAAGCGGGTCTAATTGGAACTCATGAAATGATAAACTCACCTTTTGCCTGAGATCAATAGCTGTGCCTTTCGCTTCTTTTTGCTCTTCTGACAAGACTTCCGGCGCTTCACCAAAAATTGCAAGTTCCTCAGGAAACCATCTGAACCACTCTGAGAACACAGGGCCCCAGAATTGTGTTACAGACGCCCCGACTTGTGCCTTCAAAAAATTGTTGTACTTCGACTCAAGAAAAGCTTTCTGGTCCGGTGTTGTCCATTCTGCAGGCGGCATCTGCCCCACCGCACCAGTGTCATTTTAATTTAATTTATGAAATGTATGTCATGGCTTACCTCAGTCTTTTTGCCAGTCTTGTCCCAAGTTGGAGAGTTTGCGCCCGCCAACCCAAAATTAAAGTTCCAATGCACACAGAGTTTGCGCCCGCCAACCCAAAATTAAAGTTCAAATGCACACGAGGTCAGTCAGTTGTCCAATCACAATGCATCAGAGCTAAAATTTGGCTCATATAATCATGCTATAATCATCCTCGGTTGAAAATTTTCACTCCTGCTTGCTCCACATGACGGACCCTGACACTGCCAACTTGAACTCATACAATGTACCTAAAAAATGGATACTTTGGGCCAGTGTTTACCACGAGCGAGCTCACAGCAGCACTACAATTAATTCGTGACCAAGGTATGTTACGCACACAAATACCTGCCAGCTCACGTACTTGAAATTCATAGTCCATGACTCCCCCAGCTCATCTGAAACTGGATACTATGGGCCAGTATTTGCTATGAGCAAGCTCACATCAGCGCTTCAATTGATTCACGACCAAGATGGTATGTAATTACCTACTAGACCTGCATTATGTATTGACCAATGACACCAAGTAATGACAAAAGCTCACAATGGCTACTCACTTGCCGATGCACCCTTACCATCACCTGGTTTGCAAGGCTGTCCTGCTTGCATCTTCCGTACTCATTGTCAGACTTGTTATGTCTGCCGTGCACAAATTTCTGCATGTGACGCATCATCCTCTACTGAGTCTATGTCACTCACAACAAACGCTACAACAAACGACAACTGTGAAAATGACACTGTACGTGTTTGATTCAGTATGACATATTTGAAACTGACGCGGGGATCTTGATCATATCAGGTTTTAACATTGCAGCAATGAAAATTCACTTAGGGAGAGTTTAATGGAGTATCTCGTACATACATGTTCACTTATGTACACCGTGTTAAGCTTGAACTTGAGCACTTGAGCAATAAGACACCATTAATTCATTAAAACACATCATATCTTGAGCACGCGGGTTTCGGTCTGACCACAAAGCATATCAATTAAGCACGGGTTTCGGTCTGACCAAAAGTATTGATTGATCCATTAATGAGGGTCTTATTCTCTACAAATGTTATGAGTATACACAGTCTCGGACTGTGTATACTCATAACGTTTGTAGAGAATGACCCTCATTGAGGCTTAGGTGTATTGCGAGAATTGTATTACATTTAGTTTTAGTCTGACCATTGCGCAAGTAGCTTTGGTTCAATTGAGTTATGGTCTGACCAGAACCTTCGCACTTCTTTTCAATCAACAATCAACTAAAGTTACATCTCACACCATGCCATGTCCTCCTATACATCAAACAAATGAGGCTAAACTACAAGCTGATCGTGAAAAGAACCAGCGCCACTATGCGAAGTACATTTCTTTAATTAACTGTTTGCGGTGCGATGTTCCTGACTGGGCAACCAATTGAAGAAACAGAGACCATATACTCAAAAGATGACGATGTCTTAATAACCGAGGGTCTTATATAAATACGTGTAAGAATGTAATGACACCACAATTACACTGGATAAGACTTCTTGCCAGTCCTCAATTAACACGGTCTACGACTTTTCTTCTTTCGTGGTAGATAACGTGTGAGTTCTTGGGAGGCTCGCTAAACCAATCAGTCAGATTAACTTAGCCGGAGCTTTATTATCTCTGATTGAAACTATGGGATTGTCTAGGATATACCGTCTAGACACTTGAACTGGTTTCCTGAATATACGGTTAACTGTTGAGAAGCTGGTCTCAAATGTGACTACGTGGACCAAAGCTCGTGTTGGTCAATATACAAATACCTGGTGAGAACGCTGGTCTCACAAATAACAACAATGACAAATAAAAAAAAACAATGACAAATAACAACAATGACCAAAGCTCGTGTTGGTCAGTATACAAATACCTGGTGAGAACGCTGGTCTCACAAATAACAACGGTGACCAAAGCTCGTGTTGGTCAGTAAACACTACGTGGTGAGAACACTGGTCTCACAAAACTGGGTTTCTATCGCGAGAAACTTACGTAATCTCAAGGGAAACACTTTCCCTGCACTTGCCTGGACAGTTCTTACAAAGGAAATGGGCTTTGTAAGCAGCAATTTGTTCAGACTGAAGCTTCTTAGGTGAGAGTTCAATTTGCTCAAGTGGGAGTTCTTGAATGCAACAAGTGGGAGATCTATTTTTTTGGGGGAGAATGGGCTCTCCTTATATACATTTTGTGTGGGAATATTATGTAAGTAAAAAGGTGATGTAATGACTTCAGAATGTGAGAAGAATATTCCAAAAACTGGAGCAGAATGTTCTAGCAGGTGCAAAAGAACATTCCAGAATATTCATGGTGGGATAATGACATCATTCTGAGTCACTATGAGTCACTATGAGTCATTATGAGTCATTGGAATGTTCTAGCAAATTCCATGGAACATGACATCATTATGACATCACTATGATATCATATCTTTCAACCAAAATACCTGCAGGAGTGTAGGTGAAGTCCTATGACATCATTATGACATCATACCCTGTAGGTACAATTTTATGAAGCATCTGATTAGTCAGAGCATCCTAATAGAAAAGCAAAGTAAAGAAACACTAGAGAAAACAACTCAGAAATAATGGAACAAATAATAGTACACAATACAGCGGGCTTTTTAGATAGGTTTTTGTTAGGCTTTGAACTTTTCTCTATGGGTTTCTCTAGCCAAAGTGAATAAGCCAAAGGAAAGGCAATACCTTAACCTTCATTTGCTTCTCATATCAACTAGGTCATTATGTGATTCCCATCTCACATATGACTTTTCTTCAAAACATGGTGGATTCATGAATCGCTGAGGGAAAACTGAAACTATTGGACCAAGGTTTGATACCAAGGTATGGGTTGACTAGTCTGAGGACTAAGCTAACAGACTTTGTCTTTTAGGGGGATACCTAGTAGTCATGTCCATGCATGATTCCCAAGTCATGCAGGACAACGAGAACTTCATGTTGAAAAAAATAGGCCATTGCGGGAGACCCGGCAGTTTGAGAAGGCAGTTGCGAGAGCCTTGAAAAGCCATGACGATGAAGATGAGAGTGACACTGAGCTGGAGACTGATGAATCTAGCAATGATGAGAATGACACACCGTATGTTTTATAAATAGATACTGATACGATGAACATAAATTAACATTCAACAGATCAGATCTTCCAGGGTGCCTCTTTGCTCTCAAAGGTATCAAGGACGAGATGTTGTCATTGACCGATGGTCATGAACCCCAGAAATTTGTCGAGGACAACTTCCTTCAATACGTCAAAAGCATCAAATACACCGATGACCATGGTGATAATGGTGATGTCACCATTATCTCAAACATGATGCTCAAGGTTCAAGATATTCTAAATCGCACAATTCGTGTGCAAGATCAAATCCTTAATTTTTGTGGCCCAATCTCGGATGAGTTTCGTACAGCTAACTCAGTGTCTCGATTTCTCAGCACCATGGTTGCATATCTTGAAGATATTGATTATTTGATTCACTGGGGGGGAGTTTCAGAACTTTGCATTGCTCACTCATCAGAGGAGTTAATGTATCAGAAAAACCTCCGTGTTTGAGTCATGTTCACACGGATGTACTAGTGTATGACCGACTTGCGTTTGCCTCGTGTTTACTAGCAATACATCTACCCACCACATTCCAACGATCATGGTTAGCAAATGTCGACGACAGTACAACAAAGACATGCGGGAGAAATTTTATGTTCTTAATCGAGAACTTGAACAGTCTTGTCAACTTGCCTCAGCCACGACAGAGAGAGAGGAAGCTTCTCAGCCGTCAACCTACAAGCACAAACACACTTCATTCACTCAGACCCAGGATACAAGTTGCAGTAGACTATCTGCACGAGTCAAATATTTTGAAGGTTAAGCATCCGCAAGCATGGAACATCAAGATTTACCAGTGTGTGATCCTCAATCTTTCGATGACTTAGATTTCAACATCGTGGATGGTGCACATGAAAACTACTTAGAAGATACCAACATCGAGCCTACTAGAAAGTGAAAACGCACTGCAGGGGTAAGTCACAAGCACACTGAAAATTTGGATTTGTGAATTAATTTTGTGCAGGATTATCCACTCGCATCATGGCTTCCCGAACAAGATGCATTTATCCTGGAGATGTTAAGATTGGAAGGACGCGGAGACTTTATATCTCAAGCCACTTGCCATGGAACTTATGGCTGCTCTTTGCCAGCTGAATTTCGTTGCGAGGATTGTTTTGGCACCGAGCTATACTGTCAGTCATGCACCGTGGAAAGGCACCATGAGCATCCATTGCACAGGATTAAGGTAAGCCGCTTGAACGTTTTCAAAAAAATTATCATTGAACATCTCTTAGCATTGGAAGGACACGTTTTTTTCACGATGTCACACTCAAATCTCTCGGACTGTGAATTCAACTGGGACACCCCACCCAAGAGCGCTGCTACAACCCAGCTGCTTGCCAGGATTTCGTCGTACTCCACGTGAATGGCATTCATGAAGTCAGTTTAGACTTCTGCGGGTGCAGAGACCGCTCAAAGTCCCACCACCCAGCTGCTTCGCATTCGATGGTTCCCTGCAACAGTCCTAGAGCTGAAAACCGCAGCAACATTCAAGCTTCTTCGACATTTTTACATTCTTTCATTCGAATCTAAGGTCTCCACGTTTGAATATTGGCAGACCTTAACGCGTCTTACTCACAATAGAGGGGTGGTCATTGTGAAAGTGAGATAGCTTTCATTTGCGGTTTTGTAAATATCTGACACTCAATGATAGGATCGTTATGACTCTCTACTTCGAATGATACGGGAATGGCGAAACATCACTTTGCTCAAACACTTTGGACGGGGACACGATCCCGCAGGTACTGGAGCAACAGAGCAAGGCTCATCTGCCGTCTTGTGTCCAGCTTGTCCTCAGCCTGGTAAGAATCTTCCTGAGAACTGGGAGAGTGCCCCGTCAGAAACTCGGTATGGGCTTCAACCTGTATTGTTAGAATTGCGCTGATCAATGTTATCCAGCTGGTTATATGCCTTGTTTCTCGCGATTGACGCCAACTTCCATCTGGCACGCAAGAATGTTTCTTCGGATCAAATGGACCCTGGGCTCAACCGTGGCTGGGCGTACTTCGTGGAGGAACGACAATACAAGACATTTCTGTTTGGCGCTTACAGCAACCATATCATCCAGCTTGAGGATGTCTATGCAATAGCTAGATAGTGCTCACTCTTAGCCCGACAAATCCATATCGATAGATCTGATAAGGATCACCACGATCGATTAGATGTCACGTTTTCGAGAATGACATGTCGACGCGCCCAAATCGATTGAGATTTCTATTCCGCGGATTCTTTTCACCCCGATCAATCTAGATCTGCCCGAGTGCTTCCAAGACTTCTTAGATCTCGACTTCGTAAGTAGGAACTACCAAAACAAACAGCCGACGTCAAAATATCGCTCGTCCATCATTCCTTTTATTGCGCTCACACTGGTGATACAAAAGACAGATGGAAGTGTTACACGTAAGGAGCTGAACGAGAAGTTGAAACCACGAAGGACAGAAGCAAGGAAGGCGAGATGTCATGTATTATGCAACCAAAGCAAAACTTTCATGTCTGTGTGGGAAGTGCGCGTGAATCATGTACTAATGTTCTACTAAGCCAGTCATAAGAATCGCGCAGTCAGTGACAAAAGTAGAACCAATCACACCTTCAGAAGCCATGCCCTAGGTGTTAGGCTCTATAGTAAGGGCCTTTTTGGGAGCAGCTTGACGATCCGGTCCCGCTTGATAGCATGTCCATCCTTGCCAACATAGCGAGGGCAATCAGGGTACCAGTTAAGCGAGCCAACCATTACATTCTGCAACCCTTCGACGTAGATAGCCACCTGCCTGTCAACCTCTTCTTCCCACGAGGGGAGGATAACGCGGTTGGATTCAAAGCGCTGGATGGCATCTTTGCACATCTGGCCAGCGTAGTCCATGGCGCCTTGTAGGTCTAATCCTCGATCGTACATGGTCACGGCAACTATGTTTTCCCAGGGTGCGCTACCGCGAGATTGCTCCTTGTTGTATGAGAAAACATCCTGTTAGCGGTAATGTCAGCGGTGCCCAAGCGTTCAACGACAAAACAGAATTACGTTGGACCAAATAGCATAATCTAGGGCCGCTTCCTCCAAGGCCATGACAACTGGATGCGACACAACCTCGTCGGGAAGATCAATTACCGCTACAAATTCGACGAGGGCAAAGCAGGGCTTCGTCCCGATTAGATTTCGCCTCAGGGTGAGGAAAGATTGCAAATTATACATATGTCCTTTAGCACGGTCGTCCAAATTCTTAGCCACAGCAGCGAAGAACAATCCCATCGTGCGGATAAAACCGCTCTGTGCAGCCGGGGCCGGCAGTTTTCCTAAAGCCGCTGGAAAACCTAACAGCAGAACGACTTTCAGAAAGAGTGTATGCGATGTAGAAAAAATTCGTACGATTTGCACATCTTTGCACCAGACTGTTCCGTGTCAAAATTGATGGGATCGCGGATTGCAAGATTGAAGTATTCATGCACTTCCTGTACATCGGCGACACCACACTCCATCCAATCGTCCACAATGAATGCCCAGATAAGCCATTCAGCGCAGACTTGGAGATGGAAAGCATCTGCATCAGGATAGCAAACGGCAGCACATCCGCCTATGTCCGCATCAAGATACCCCCTGATCTCGGGCTCTACAAGTTGCCCTACGTCAACAAGCCATTGATTAGTTGCGCGGGACACCGCATCACGGTGAGGGTTCTGTCGCAAGGGATAGTGACAATCATTGATGAGGTCAGGTAAAATGAATTGTGCGGGCTCGGAGTCAGAATTGGTCGTGTGGGCGACAGTAGGAAACATAACAGCGGTCGTCGGATTCATATTGTGAACGTCGAGATGAGGAACACATAGGTGCAAGATCGTCAGTCTTTATAGTGAATGGATTCGTGTCACGGAAGACTTTTTTCAATCACCATTCGGCACGAACGAGTCCTATTAGGCAAGACTTGTCCGCTACCACTGAGTCGAGTTCACCGTTCCAGGGTCCAGTGCTTCTCCTTGATACGCGTGACTTGGATAGTTTGTGAATCGTAATCAATAGAGCAAGTTTGCCAATCAAGTGGACTGATGGCAAGCTCGCGCCTTCGTTTGGGGCCGCGTGAGAGAACCGATGCTCATCCGTGAGTCCTTTAGACGTTGATTACGTCGTAATATGAGATTGCTTTTAGCGACACAAATACAGGACATGCTCACATCTATCTTACTCACTAAGTCGATGCCATACTGCATACTAACAGGACAGCCGCCAGTACTTAGAAGAGTTGATAGTGTTATCAGTCCGGATTTTTTTGCTCAGGGTTTGAGGTCGTTCGAAGGAACCGAGAAAGGTCCGAATGATAACAGGTTACCCGACACCGGGGTTTGAAGTCGTTCGAAGGGACCGAGAAAGGTTCGAATGATGACAGGTTACCAGACACCGACGTATTCGATAGAACAGACGGGGCCTTGCTGTCCCCTTTAGTAGTAGGCTAAGCCGCTAGGAAACTCGTTTGTACTGAGCACCCCCACTGATAGCCTGTAACAGCAACACCATAAGTCCTCGGTCCCAACTTGACGAACTGTCTTGTTCTCACCGGATGAAAGTTAACCTCTAACTTGAAGTTACCATTTTCAGTATCAAAGACTACTAGTAGACTCGTGACCAGTCTGGACTACGTCTTTGAGATGTTACATGAACAACGTTTTTCAGTTTCCTTTTTGGTATTCCTTACTAGTTAGTACACCGCACTTCTCCTTTTTCCTTTCTTTAGTCTTGCGCTCGTCTGTTTTGATAGGTATAGCTTCAATGTTGTACCTACCGGTCTTGCTAACGTCGTCTGTTTTGATAGTCCGTTGTGGTTGTCGCTCCGCGTCTCGCCTCGGCCTTTCTCGTCCTGATAGTAAGTCAGACTGGTCGATCTCGGAGAAATTTGGCAGGTGAAGCGAGGAGTTTGAAATTGGACAGATTGGGCCGGCCCAACTATCTTACACACCCACCGATGGTTTGGAGCCACTAGTACTATCGCACTCGCACCCACTCTCTGCCCGTCTGCACGTAATTACTTCCTGTGCAAACGAGTTTACTTGGGACAAAGGGCCCATAGTACTGTGATGGCATCTTCAACTGCCACGTTTTGCGTTCATCATTCCATTTCTTGTCGTATCTTCATCAACACTACAGCATCTTCCGTAGACTTTCTTCTAGGATATGCTCTGACTCCTCGCGACCCAGCACCTCGCACTCCATTCATACGAACAACCCAGATGGGTAATATGGTGATGACCGGTTGACTAGGAAGCAGACTCATTGACTTAGTAGGGCTTTCACTCCCAGGCCTCACGAATCATTGCCATTAGTTCAACGCTACTCGTTCTCTCTAGCTCCTCGCACCCCATCCGTTATTTCCCTCACACTTTATTCATTTTCACAATTATGATTTCCCCATTCGCCCGAGTCACGTCCAGATGGTAGATGTCACAGTGGTTGTGTCCTGCGAACCGGAGCCGCTGTGTTATCAACAATTTGGGCTTCTACTCATCACGGTCACTTCTCCTCCTTCCTTCGTTGTGCTCAGATAGATGATAGATCTCGAAAAATCCTTGGGGCTATCAACTGTACGAGCTCAGGCACGCTGTTTTTACTTTTTCCTGGTTGACAGAACTTTCACGTCACATTCCACATGCCCAGCCCAGATGGATGATTGCACAGTGTTTTGTCTTCAGACAACGGCTGCCTTAGTGATACTTCGTCAAGTGCTCTTTAGTCCCCGCTCAGCACATCGCATATCCTTGCCATGCGCATCCGTGATAGATGGAAATACTCGAACCGTGAGTTTTTTTTGAAAACTATCATACTCCGTATCGTTAAATCATGGTTGAACACAGTCGATTGTCGTCGACGACATGACTATCTGACAGTGGTCAGCGATGGGTTGGTTCAATCAGATGATCGACACCCAATTAATTCACTAGTGGTCTCCAGGACGTCGACACCCTACTTCTACCCTTCGCACACGATTCGGCACTCCTTTCCTGCGGCACAGATGGAAGATGATGGTGGACAGGCGTTCTTGCCGATATGACACATTGTCAGCCATTTGGGGTTTCACGGCTCCCTCTTGCGTCTTCTTTTGCTTTACACGATAGAGCCAGTGCGATCTGATTAAAGTAGGGATGTCAGAATATCATGGTCTGCGCCCTTTTCTAGGTGCGCTTCACGCCTTGCGACTTCAGTTCTCTTCTTTACTCCCCACTCAGCACTTCTATCTCCTTACAGCGCGCATTCATTTGTGACAAGACAGAGGCATATACTCAACTCGTAAATCTCTGTTTTAAACCTCATTCTCGATATGGTTGAATCATGCTTGAACACACATCGTTCAGCGATATCTTGCCAGCAACACCCGCAACGAGAATGGGCCCCTGGATATCCGATGAGCTGATACGACCCCGATCACAATGATCCCTACCGAGGACATCGACAGCCAACTTTCACCTTTCATGCACGACACATTACTGCTGCCTGCTGATGGATGATATCGGGTGGGCACGCGTCTGGCACGTTTGCTCTTATTTACGGCCCTCGGTCATTCAGCAGAAAGGACTCGATCTACTCACAGGCGCCATCGAAGGTAGACAGTGTGGAGAAGGGCTATCGGCGATGAGTCCATTCAACGACTACCAAATGGCTTCTCAGGCACGCCTTGAGCCAACCATGTAGGTTCAAAACCAAACTCTGTTGTATCGCGTCCCTGGGAATCCATTTGATTTAGATAAACTAGACCGAATCAAACAGAAGCCAGCCGCAAAACCTTGGAGTGGTGGGAAAATGGGGTATCTGATTCCTGGTGCATTTGATATATTCTCTCAACAAGTACGCCTGCCTGCCCTCCCTTCAATTTTGTGTGTCTAACCGAAACCTTATCTAGCCTATCTGATCGTCCTACTCTTCGGATCCGTTGTGCGTTCATTTTGTACAGGATTGGACTTTGTCTGTCATCCGGCCATAATCGAACACCCCTTTGTATCAACAATTGAGCTCGGGTGTGTGCGACATGAACGTTGGAACTGCGAGATGGACCGAGGCGAGACCGAACTTAAGAATTTAGCTTGTGGCCACTAGCTACAAAGTGTGACGACGACATGTATTTGGCCATCTACGCTACGTACAACTCAGGCCTCAGGTATGAATATACCCCGACAGTCCGCGAGTGAAAGCGAGAGTCCGAGTCTGATTATGCTGCGGAACCCTTGGGACCATCACCTGTCTCAGCTCAGATACACTACTTCTACTTGCCGGCGCCCTGGCGTTCCATTTATTCGGTCAAAATGATGGATATATGTATGTATCTCGATCGGTACTTTGCTTTGACGGTCGTGCTTAGCAGGATGAGTTCCAACAGATCATTGCAAGGACGCAAACCCGACGCACAATTTGCAGTCGCATTGGCGGAGCATTACGATGGCGCGGCTCCGACCAACGTACATATGGATGCAATCTCAGAATCTCGTGGTCGAGGTCTCATTAATAGTGAGCCCCGATTCTCTAATTCTCTACTCCTCGCTCAGCACACCTCATCTCTTTGTCATGCTCATTCATGATAGAGGCATACAGTCGAACCACAAGTCCGCGCGATTCATTCCTATTCCTTCACCGTGGCCCAGATGGATGGATACACCTCTGAGCACCAATGAGTTACAGCCATCCGGGGTTCATGCCTCTCAGTCACTTTTTCATCATCTGTGTGCTCAGACAGCAGAACTCCGTAAACACGTAGAATCAGCTGTCTGAGCCTCAAACCTGGGTTGGTTGCTCGACGTTCCGGTGGATAATTTCAGCTTGCCACTTGGTGCAAGTGTGAACTGGCGGTTCACTGACTTCCAATAGTGATACAACAAGAAATGAGTTTGTCTACATAAGCCTCGTCTCAAATACACTTTGAAACAGCATAACTTAAATAAATAGCATGACAGATCCTTGACCACATTTCTCCTCCCTGCAGAACACTCGGCAAGCATTTCTCTACACAGTACTGCTAGTTGATATTTGCACATGCTCCTGGAAGACAATCGAATTCATGCTAATTTCTGCGTCGGAGTTGGCCACGATTTTTGCATGATATTCTCGAACGCTAAGGATGAGGCGGGGCCCCAGCACAAACAACTGCACGCCCAATAAAATATCAATAGCACCCATGAGTATCTCAACTCCCATAGAATTTGGATTCTACAGAAATGATGAGCAGTGGTCACAAGTAGATGTCAGCGACAGGTCAGCGTACCAAGCGCGATGGGGAGAGATAGATAAGTTGGAGGCAGGAGACACAAAGAAAGCTAGCACGTGTGGGATTTGAGTAGACAGATAAGTACATTCACATTACAAGCTCACCTTGCAAAATAAAGCACGTGAGATTTTATCAGCACTGTGAAACAGTCCCCAAGGGTCGATCCTGTCGATGGGCCGAATCGTCGCAGGTCACAGAAATGTTTCATAGCAATCCAGACTGAAAGACAGAGTGCAAGGACCTCCCAAACAGTGTTGAGCGTCCAAATCTTTGAAATCAGAAGATGGACATCCCCCTCATATTGAAAGTCGCACATATACGTTCCAGAGAGCATCAGCTCCTCTGGTGATTGTCCAATGAGCGGTGTTTTTCAAGTCAACAAGTAAAGCTTACCCCCTACCATATCCTTGAGTACTATTGCCGCGAGTACTCCGCAGGCGATGTTAACAGCCAGGAAGATGACAACAAGGACGATAAGCATCCTCCTAGATCGCTGATACATGGCATGTAACCGAGCAATCATGATGACTTGCATCGCATTTCAGTCGCGTCAATATCACTGAGATATTGCAGCTCACCATCCAGCATGGCAATTACGATCACATTTATGCCATTTATTGTGTAGTTCATAATATCACCTGAAGCACGCAATCAGTGATCACCTCGTACTAGTATCAAACGCTCCAACTCACACCTGTCGAGTCATTATGTTGATCCTAGTTCAATGTTCAGAATCTCACTCACCCCTATGTATGAGTGTATTCATTGGATGGGAATGAGATGATGCGGAATACTCACTGCATCTGTCAGAGAGACCAATGGCACATTTACTGTGTGCCACGGGTCAGAATAATCGAATACAGTGCATAGGAGACATACCCAGAACGCTGATACTGATAATGAGAGATGGGCTATTAGTACAGTGCCAACTTGTTGGGCTCAAACACATACACAGAATATGGTATTCCAATATAAGCGTATCTAGATCATTTTGGAGTCAGCATAACTTGCCAACCAGGCTACATAATATGAGGTACGAACAACCAAATACATAACAGTCATGAGAGACCAGCGTTGCCTCTGTCGCGAATTCATTATATTCGCCTGTTTTTCTTCTGACTCGAATATGGGGCTCTGTCACTCACCCAGATCAGTTCAATCTATGACACCATTCTCAGCAAGTTGGCTACTCCGGCAATAGCACTGACGTACCTCTTGTCCAAGTGTTAGGACTGGAAATATGATGAGAATATGCGCGGTTTTCGAACACTGTCCTGCTCACCCCAATCGTATACCACCACCACGCCGGCAGCAACTGCGAAACCGCAAGTCAATGTTAGATCGAGATATCACCAACTGATACGACGCACTTATACAATAGCTGAAAAAAAAATTCGTACTGATTATCCACCGACTGGGATTATTTGAGACTATGGTCATATTCGAGAGATGGGTGAGAGCGAGTGCGATATGTATCAAGAATCGGAGAAGCTCGGACTAGGAACGACGAATGAGAACGAAGGCTTGAGATTCAGTGAAACGACTGGAGAACGATATTCAACGGGGAGAGGTATTAATACTATGATTGAGACGGAGAATCAAAGGGGAACGTGTATAAGGCGTGTAGTGAAAAGTAATTGCGTGTGTAAAAGGAAAGAAAGAGTACGTACAAGAGTGACGTCGATAGTCGTATCTTGACAATATGTGGGGGTTATAATGATCTAGTGTTCGTGCTAGATCATCACCAAAAGTCCAAAATCTAGATATGGCAAGCGCTTGCCATATCATATCGCAACACCGGGGAACAGATCCATCAGACAGGCCAGGTACCACCAGATTAAATAGGGACGTTCAAAGTTGGGCGCCCACGCCCAACGCCTACGCCCACGACCCCCCTTACCCATATACCACTTCCCGTTTTGTACTTGAATGAATGTATTATATAATCAATGATAACTGACTACACTTAGTCGAGGATTTTACGCGGTTTTACGGTCACGTGATGCCGTCCATGTGACCTTCGGGTTCCGCCGGATTTCCTCTTCACAGACCTTTCTCGTCGGTGTGTTTCATTCTGTTCTGCGTCGCTTTGCAATCAAATCGAATTTGAGTCCCACCCAGCGTGTGATCTACGACAGCAAACAAGCAAACAAATCTACGAGGAAGGACAGCAATGGAGATGACTCGAAAAAAGAGACTAGTGTGTGGAATGTCACCCATCGTATCACCATTTGTTGCCCTAGACTGCCAGCGCTTACGACATCGCGACGTAACTGGGTTCGTGTAATTGAAGCTGCTGTTGCCCACGCTCTGTACGACAGCTGAAGGAATGCTAATGCTCGCATCAGTACCAGCCAGACCATGCCATCGAAGTCAGGGAGAACTTACCCCATGCATATGGACTAGTTCCAACACCTGTTGTGCCTTCGGCACAGGAAGCAAAAGGAGCGCTTTGCGCTCCTTTTTAGCTTCCTGGCCTCAGCTTCATCCTAAATACTCACTGTGCCTTCGGCACAGGAAGCCAAAGGAGTGCTTTGCGCTCCTTTGGGAGGTGCCTGCAGCACCTTGACTTACTAATAATAATCATAGTGGACTTTGAAAAAATTACATTTTTTAGCAGCATTTTCACAAAACTAAAAGTACAATCTACTACACCACGTAAAAGTACACAACACATAAGCATCAGTCATTTCTCTATATAAAAGTACATGATATGCACATCAATCATCAATGGGATCTGTAAGGCCTCTAAGCACTTCTTTATACACTACATTTGTTGTTTTTGAGCCTTCTTCATGCTCTGGAAAGATAGCACGCACACTGTCTGGGTGAGTGCAGCGAGACAAAGCCACATAGAGTTGTCCATGACTAAAGACAGGAGTGCGCAAATTAAGGCCAACATGCTTGACACTCTGACCTTGCGCCTTGTTGATTGTCATAGCAAATGCCAGACGAACGGGGAATTGTCGACACTTGAGAGGAATAGGGTTGTCCTCAGATGTGGCATCCAGGGTCATGCGAGGGATCAGCACTGTGTCCTGATCATTTTGGTGAGCTGCATTGACTCCATCCCTAAGAATGCGACACCTAAGGACACGCGTGGTCCAAGACAGGAGGATCATGTGAGTTCCATTATAGAGGCCCTCAGAGGGGTTCAAGTTGCGCAACAGCATCAGAGGAACACCTGTTTTGACCTCCAATTTGTGCAAAGGGAAGCCTGATGGGGTGAGAGTGTGAAGGAACTCTATGGGGATGTAGTCATAGTCCCTCTCAGTGACTGAGTCTGCGCTGGTGAAGACTGCTTTATCTCCAGGGAATGATTCGAGAATGGTGGTGTTGATTTCATCCACATCAGTGTTCTTTGCAGACAGGATGGTACGTTCCAGGAAGAAGGAATCATTCACGGGAGGATGGCCAGGGTGCAGAACTGGAGAGTATAGGGCATTGATGAGAGACTGGACATCATTGTTGGCGCAGCGCATATGATTAGGGAGGGTCACAGTTCCATCTCCATCTGTGCCCTTACCAGCTCCAATCTCAAGGAGCCACTTTGCAAATTCATCAGAGGCAGGGTCTTGATCAAGCCGCATATTTCTCTTGAGGTGGAAGATACGAAGCTTTGGCCAGATGCGAGATCTGCAAAAGGTAGCGCCCACTATCTGCTCCCTGGATCCATGAGGCACTATCAGCTGGGTCTGTCTGAAATCTCCTCCAAAGAGAATGGTTATTCCTCCAAAATCAGCATCGACGTTCAGAAGGTTACGTAATGTGCGGTCGAGGCATTCCAGAATATGTCGGTGGAGCATGGGGATTTCGTCGCAGATGATCAGAGAGGTGGCCTTGAGAAGCTCATGGACAACATCTCCTTTCTTTATGTTGCATGAGCTGTCCTCGTGAATGGGGATGGGAACTTTGAATCGTGAATGAGCTGTACGTCCGCCTGGGAGGAGGAGGGAAGTGATTCCAGAGGAGGCCACACAAAGGACAATCTTGCCTTCAGCACGTAGTTTTGAAGCAATGAGCTTGCAGAGATATGTCTTGCCACATCCACCTGCACTGTGAACAAAGTATGCATGTTCAGGTCTTTCCTCATTGCGATGCATTGCATCATGGACTACAGCATCAAAGACCACCCTCTGCTCGGTATTGAGCAAAGGGACTCCTACTTCCACAATCTGTTGAAGTTCCTGCAGATTATACTGAAGCTGCTCAGCAATGAGCTGATTGCCCTCCATGGCCCCTCATCTTGCTGCCATTTGAGAAACAGGCATTTGAGGGATCGCTTCCAAAGACTTTCCATTTTTGCGAAGCACACCATCAATAAGATAGAGACCAAAGTCATGGATCTCTTCCTCTGTAGGGTCAGGAATGTTGAATGGAACATGAGTGAGGCGGTGGCGCAGATCATCACAGAGATTTTCCTTGAAGCAGTTCCAAAGGTCATCGGGGCTTGTAGGGTTGCAGTGGAGCAGGATGATAGCAAAGAGATTGCGCATGCGATGTCCAGTGCACATATGAGAGGCATCCTGCAAGCACTGGATCCATTCATTATCGTCATCAAGCAGACCTCTGCGCTGACATGCTTCCTTGAAAGTCTCATAGATGATCCCATTAAATGTCCGAAGGTGCTCGTAGGAGGTGGCCCCTTAAAAAATATGGTGAGTTGGATTGATAACAATTGTCATAAACATCATACCTTTCACTACAGTCAAAAGCAATCTCAGGTAGAAGCGCTCTCCAGAGCTGGGTGCAGCAGCATACATCCTTCCGATGGCCATTCCACGCTGGCGTATCTTCCACGCATTTCTGGCCCAAATGAATTTTGAGGGGAAATCCTGATAGAGGCGGTCATTAGCTCCAGCTGCCACCAAGTTCTCATTGGCATTGGCTTTGAACCATCCAGTGAGGCAAGTGTCTTTGGCTGCTGCACGCTCAAGAACATCCTGGGCATCATCCTCGGGGTCATAGAACACCATCTGTTCATCTGGGAGGTGGACTGGCAAGTGGTAGACAGAGGGCCATTCGAGATGCATTGAAAATTCAAAGATGCGCCATGCAGCCTCAGTCGAGCTGATATATCTGGAGTCGAGATATGATTTGACTTCATCCGCTGCTCCTCTCATCTCCAAAGTAGCACGGTCGTTTCATTTGTAGATGTACTTGTGGATATATTTGACAGATTTGATAGAGGCGCAGACTTCCAGATTGATGTGGCAGTTGAATTCCACCAGGAGTTGTGGGGGGTGGGGAACAACATCTTTGTTGGTAAAGATATCTTGGTTCTTTTGGATGGTGCGACCATTGTCAGGTCTCGCATACTCCGGATAGCCATCATCCTTCATCAAGGTCTGGGGACAGAATGACTTTGGGAAATGTTTCTTGCACTGTCCATTCTCCAAGCAACGTTCTGGGGTGCAAGGACCATGCAACATGTATTTTTCCACAGCCTGATAGAGCTGTGGATGGAGATTTCTGTCAGGAATTTGGGCAGAGATGAAGGAGTTGATTTGCTCTGTAGTGCGGATCTTATCTTCTGGCTCCAGGAAGATGAGGAGGTGCATATGAGGCAGACCGCATTTTTGATATTCGATGGTGTACACCAAACCTGCGACCTTTCCAAAGTAGCCTTTACGAACCTTCTTCAAAAGAGCCTGTTGCTTCTGATAGAATACGCGAGCCACCAAGTCGGGACGGTCCACAGCGCTCTGACCTATATAAGAAAATTGTCAGGCTGAAGTCATAAACAGTGCATCAAATGTGAATTATTACCTGGAAGGAGATTCTCAGTGATTTCAGGCCAACTCCCATTGGCAGTCATTGTTAGGAAGAGATCAGGCTTCTTGCAGGCACGGCAAATGGCTAAGGAATCTTGAAGCAGCTGGTGCATGTACCGAGGGCTCCCAGTATGAGAGGAGGGAAGAATAATGGAGCGACCTGTCTGAGCCAGATCATCCACGCCATCATTGACAACATTATCCGTTAAGCCTCGGTAGCAGTCTGCCCTCAGCCGCTTTTGGTTGTTCCTGATCCAGTTCAAATTGCTCTGCTCTATGGAGGCCCAAGCATCAACCACGTACTGCTGGAATAGTCGTCCACCACGAAAGATGTTATTGTAGTCTAGGTGAGCCGGGCGAGGATGAAGGCCATAGGCATAATATAGCAACTGAGTGACTTTTTTTGCTCGTTGATGTCCGCCCTCATTGACATTGAGAGGGATGTCAAGATGCCAGCCCTCCTCGCCAGAAGGAAAGAGAAGAACGTAGTGAAGAGTTGAGTATGTGTGGCTGAGCTGACTGATGTGCTGAAGTTGACCACCTTGAAGTCGCAAGACAATATCACGTTTGTCGGACACCTCCTCAGATCCATCTCCAGGAATGATCACAGCAATTTCATTGGCAGTAGGGAGATTATATCTTCGACCATCTGTTCCCTGTTGGAAATGAATGCGTGCACGGATATCTGTCTGCTGCTCTGGAGGCTTCTCTCGCATGACCTGATAGGCCTGCTTATAGAGATGAGCATAGGGATGGCTTCGATACAGCATATCATGGAGCTGTCTGAGGGTGTCACGATCAAGGACTTCATTTCCAGGGCGGGTGGCGCGGATTTCTGTGGCTTGTTCAGGATCATAGATGTAGAGTTGGGCATATGAAGGCTGCTGGCCTTCCGGAGGTATAAGACTGCCCATGAGGTGATGGAGAGATCCATGGATACGAAAAGCATTTGGGCCAGATCCTTGAAAAGCTTGATGCTCGATATTGACACCAACCGATGTTAATGCAAGAGCACTGTTGTACTGCCGAATCTTGGCGACAAAGGTTCGGTTTGTATATGCCTGCTGCAGCTCGCGTGGCCATGCTGGAAAGGGGCGAAGGTTGACCTGGCCCTGCAAGCAGCACATACCAAAGCGTGGGTTTCGCTTGGAGGATTTGGAGAGTCTTTCGCATTCAAAGTGCATTGCACAGCAGTTGGGACACTCTACATTAAGAGGACCAAGAGTATGAATTTCGATAGGTTCATTATACAGTCGACCTCCATCAGGGATTGGAACCACCTGGATGATATTTTCTTCGTCCTCTTCCTCGCGCTGCTGGCGGTGTTGGCGCTCCTGAGTTCTTCTTCTTCCCTCGTCTTCATTATGGTTTTCTTGAGACACCGGATCATTATATTCACGTAGTGCCTCTTCAAGATGCTCCTCCTGCTCACAGACTCTTTGCTCCTGGTGGTGTTGGCGCTTTTCTTCTGTCGACCTGCTCGCTGAACATCCTGATCCTGTCTATGGATTTGCTCAACTTCCTGCTGCTGGAATTGCTGCTGGAGTTGCTGCTGCGTTTGCAGTTGCTCAGCTTCCTGCTGCTGGAATTGCTGCTGCATCTGCTGTTGCTCAGCTTCCTGCTGCTGGAATTGCTGCTGCATCTGCCATTGCATCTGCTGTTGCTCAGCTTGCTGCTGCAATTGCTGCTGCAATTGCTGCTGCAATTGTAGCTGGATATGCTGTTGATGAAAGTCCTCCTGTGCTTGTCTTTGAAGCAAGTCGTGTCTAATGCGCTCAGTCTGCTCCGCCTGAAAATCACGTTGAAACTGAATATTAAATTGATTATAATCAGGTTCAGGCGGTGCATGTAAAGGTGGTGCAGGATGAGGCACAAAATTGGGGAGAGGATTGTTCATCAATTCAGCTTCCTGCTGCTGTTCGCGGCAATAATCCTGAGCATGTATAGCAATCATTTCGTCTAGCTGCTGCTGAGCCTGATGAGCATTGTGTCCCCCTTGCTGCAGCAAGTGAAAGACTGCTTGGTCTTCCTGGACTTCTCTAAGGAGATGCTCTCCTTCTTGCCGTTGCAATTGACACTGGACTTGCTCTCGATGAAATGCCTCTTGTGCTTGTCTCTGACGCCAGTCATGGTCATTTATATTGCCACGTTCAGGCAGTGCAGGTGGAGGTGGTACAGGATCAGGTGCAAAATAGTGGAGGGGATTGTTGAAGTTGTGAGGACCAACTTCACCTTCATAATGGATAGGGCCATATACAGGAGGCATGGGAGGTGCGGGAGGTGCAGGATGAATAGGCTCATTAGGAATATGAGGTACGTGGAGAATCTGGAGTAGGACAGGAACAGTGGGAGCTGCGAATGAGACGTTGTTGACGTAGAAGATTACGTTGTCGATGGAAACTGCGAGGTTGAGGTTGATATCAGCCTGCTCCATATTCTGGAATGCCAGGAGCAGAGGGATTGATCAGAGCATGCAAATTGGTCTCCACCAATGGGTTCGCGGATGTAGTATTGACCGTAGTCAGCTCAACCTGCAGGGCGCCTTGGTAGCGTAGGATAGCAGAGTTTGTTCCTCCAATAAAGGATGCATTGGCTGTATCAGGAAGGCTGCGTATCCAGTAGTTGTCTGTCGGTTGATCGGCAACCAAAACCACAGAGTAACGTTGACCCACAAAAATCTGGAGCTGATCCACCTCGAGAGGGTCGGTCAACTGTCCATCCGCTTCGATGACGGTCCTGTTATGGCCATCGATGGAGAACAGGAAGTTGGGATCGCACGACATTGAAACCAGGCGCATGCAATACCGCTTTCCCTGCTCGACGTTGATCACAGCTAGATCAGACATGGATCTGCCAGCATATCGACTGAGTCCATTGATGAGCGTGGAGTCGGCAACATTGCCTATGATGTAGCGCAAGATGGTGGCCTCTGCGTGATACCTAGTGATGCTACTTTTAGTTGGGCAGATCACCAGCATTCATAAAACTCACCAGTCGGAAAGCGTGATCACAGTGCTCTCTGACAACGCATGATGGTCAGAGGATTAATATAAACAAATTTCTGGCTCACCATCGTCGACATCATACATGGGATGCATAAGGGTCGTCAGGATCATAAATTACCAGGGCTCCCCTGAGACCATCGCACTGTTCCACAGGTCAGTCCTCTGATGCGTATGCAAGATTGGAGTGGTACTTGCATATTGAACAGAATAATGACTGTGATACCAGTAAGTGCCTGCCTGATTCTGGGCCAAAAAAGACTGTAAATAAGATTGGTTCTGCGCAATGGGGCATTGCGTGACGGTGCTCGTCCCGTCGGCATAGCTCGTCCCATTCTGGTAGATGGCATGCCAATGCTGTGGCACACAAGGTTAAAAAGTTAATTGACATCAATGTTGAGGATTTGGTGCTGCTTACGACGCTAGTAACCGTGTACATGGAGGTATCCGTGAGCTCGTTGGCCACCAAAATGGAAAAGTTATCTCCCTATTATGCGGTCAGCGCTAGTGTGTGACGAGGTGGTCGACAGACAGTCACCTTCTGCGCTGAAATCAAGGGTCCAGGAAATTCGCCATTAACAAGAGTCGCTCTGTTAAAAATTAGGAGCGAGTTTTGAAATCATGACAAGCACACTGCGCTGAGATAATGGATAGGACTGTGAACGAGATATTATAGCTGCAGCATTAATGGATGAAATAAAAGAAGCGATTAGAATTGGAGTGAACATCATGATAGAAAGTGCTCTCGCCAGGAGAGTAGTAGAATGGAGAAAATGAAGATGATGATTATCCTGCAGCGGCAGATAGCCTTGAGTGAGTATTTTCTTTAGCGATGATTACCGGTGTGTGATCACGCGGCAAATAGTTGCTCAATGACTGCACTCGCTGACAACACCAAGATGCCTGATGACCTTGATAGCAGCGCTGTGAAGCATGTGGTATTCGTCGTCCGGAAGAGTTTGAGACGGTGCAACACCAATCGAATCGCCAGTGTGTGCCGAGAGGATTGAAATTCTCCATATTGCAGCAAATGATCGTGTTCTAAGAGCATACGCACTCAACTTCAGAATGCACAACAAAGCAGAAATGAACCTACATCAGTGCCATCACGAACAACTTCGTATTCGAGTTCCTTCCAGCTCTTCATACTCCGCTCAATCAGAACGTGAGGGGACAGACTCAAACTCTTTGCAGAGAGATCACGAAGCTCATCGAGATTGTTGGCGAAACAGGAACCGAGACCACCAAGAGTGGATGCAGACCGAAGGTTGACGGGATAGCCTATTTGCTCCGCTGCATCCAAAGCAGCATTGACATTATATGCAGCTGTGGACTGTGCGCTGCAGCGCAGCCGACAATGTTTCAAGGTGCGAAGCGACCAAGGCAAGGAGACCCTGTAAGGACGTATCAGGGGACATGTATAATTGACGAAAGAGATCATGTACTTAGCCATGTTACTGAAGTAGTAGCGAGCGTCGGAATCCTTCCTGAATCATGTAAAACTGAACTTGGCGCTAGGCCCGAGGTCTGGCTTGGTGAGGGTGGAGCCCTTCGCCAGAGAAGGTACACAAGACCGCGATAGAACTGAGTTGTGTGGGGTGGTGTCGAGGGCCGTTGGCGTTGAACAAACTGTCCGGCTAGATCTAGTGCTAGTGCGGGACAAAAAGCAACACGATTGTGACAAACGGTCACACTGCCTCGTTAGGGCAGCCCCTGGTCTGAGTGTGAGGCGCGTTGCAACATTTAATGAAAGGGTAAGAACTACACACCTCTAGGAACATTCAGAGTAGCAGAAACCGCAGTGAGAATGTAAGGCTACAGTTAAAGCAAAAATTTGAGGGAAGGGAACCAGAAATGCAATTTTTTGCTGTGCTGCGCTGCCGGATTTTACAAGAAAAGAACGGAAAAGTCGGGGTAAAGTGCCCGCCGCACTTTATTTTACCGTAAAATCTTGGGATTTTACGAGTGGCTGAGAGCTCCGGTGGCGGAATTTTACATGGATAGGGCGGGTGGGCGCACGAGCTCATTTTCGCCATACAATTAAGCAAATTTAAACATGTATATTGCATGGGTGCACGTATATACAGCTGTACATTATGGACAGAGAAAAGCACAAACTATTCCGTCTTTCTGCGTGTGCGCACACGAAAATTCGACGGAATCGCGTAGCAACAATAGTGCGAGGTTGATGGACGTGACATGGCGACACAAGGGGCCCGGCGAGCTCCGTTGGTGAGTGGTTTCTGTGCTTACGAGTGGTCCTCAAGTGCAGGTACAGGCGCGGTGCATCCTGTAATGCGAAGACAACGGAATGGGAGCTGCAGATCTGCGCGTTATAGTACTGGTAAGTAAGCTTGTAAGACGCGTCGGGTTGCTGATGTGTCAGCGAGGTCACGTGCTTTGGCGTTTTACACGCCTGTGGTAAAATGAGGCAATAAAACCAACTTAACACTGTCCGAAAACACATATCACACTCAATGGCCCGTTTTCGAACATCACGCGAGCAATACCTTCACTCATATCTCTTGTTTATGGTTCTACATACTTTGTTTCAGCCAGACGTGACCCTCGAAGAGGCAGCAGCACAGCTGCACTGTGACTTATCTTGCATTCTTGCTATTCAACAAACTCGTTATCTACAAGAGCACTCCCCTGTGGCAAAAGCTGGCACCCTACACATTGCTTGGGAATATGCAAATTCTCCATCTGACCACTTTTGCTTTATTCATATGCTCCATGTTTCTCCAATGACCTTTCAAGTCCTGCTTGATCTAATCAAAGGTCATCCAGTATTTTCCAATAATTCCAACAATGCACAGGCACCTGTCCAGACTCAACTCGCTGTCACTCTCTATCGAATGGGTCGATATGGCAATGGTGCCTCAGTGATGGACATTGCCTGCCATGCATCAGCAAAACCCTGAGTGGCTGTACGGCATTGTGTAGTGCCGCACAATGCCATACAGCCACTCAGGGTTCGCAGCGAAGTCCCCCCATGCACAGCCGAGCTACATCACGACATATTGCACTTTGAATGTGTCATGCTGTGTGTCAGTTACCCAATATGGCACAGTGCGGTTAGTGCCACACAGCGCTGCACTGCACGACTTTGGTGTTCGCGCTGTACAGTGTTATATAGCAATATATGGGTTCAAATGTACTACCTCCCATGATGTCTTACTATAGAATCCTACCAACAATCAGACTCAGACTGTAGTAGCATGACAAAATATACTAGTTCCATTCAAAACTCGGATTGTGGTAAAAACAGTACTACTACTGTGAATTTGAAAGTGATATAGTCTAGTATGCGACTGGTAAAAGATAGTATTAATCAAGATCAACCTCCCACTCAGAACCGCCACCGCCATCTTCATCACTCGCAGTGACCTTGTTCCTATTTTGATGGTCAATGATAGTACTAGTACTACTAGTAAGAACAAATCAGACGGAGACTTACATGCCAGTCTGCACCCAAGACTGGAGCATCTTGCGTAGCTTCGGACCATGATACTCGTCATCTTGAACGCGTTTAAACAGGCTAGCAATCTTTTTGTAGATGACCTCCGAATCTGTGATATTGGTTTGCTTGGTGTTTGCTTGGCCATGCCTAGAATAAATGTCGAGAACATTTTGAATCTAAAAACAAAAATCGGTTAAATACTGTGAGCATACTAGTACCACGTAGATATTCACGATCATTGTGACCAGGATAATAGCGTTGTCTGGAATTGTCTTCCAAAAGGCAGGAAACTGACACAGGGATTTCGAGCTGCTATCATAAAATACTCGAAGGCAAACACAGCAGAGCGCGTTGTGGTGTTCAAGCTCGGGCTAGGCTCGCAGAACCCCATTTCGCTATAGGAGTCAAGCAGCCTAGATATCCACATCGCATACATACACCACTTCCTTGCAAAGTCTCGACTCACTCGACTCACCTATGTCGCACCGGTCTATGTCCGACTCGGCCGATACAGATCTGTGGTCTCGGTCTCTCGCAGAAGAGCCAGGGTTGTCTTAACCGTCCCTTGCTCGTCAGATCGGCCATCGCGCACCTCGGCTGACCATTCCATTCCATCGGTACCGAATCCTCCCATGTCCTGCCCATGTCCACCTATCTCCATTGGTGCGTTTTAAGCTTATTTTACCGTTACTGAACGAACAGCAGGCATTATTACATGTATTCCCATGGCCGCAGCACTAGCGAGCCTTATTACATATCGACCCGAGTACCTCGCGTTTCGCTACTACTCTCGCCTGTGTGATTCCGGACGTTCACGCAGTTAGATAAATAGGACTTGAGTTTCATATTATTCCTTACTTCCCTTCCTCGGACATTCCTGGTACCATTGTAGGAGTCACCTTAGTTAGTCTTTGATTGTGCAATTGATCCCCCTTGCTTTTATCATCGGACATGCCTTGACCGCTCTATGTGCACTCTATCTAAGGTTTCTTTACCTAGGCCTTGTGAGATCCGGACCGCTACCGGTAGTCTTACGTCGGCAACCCATACCTAGTCTTACCTCGTCATACCTAGTTATACCTGGACTCTCCTTACCTCGGTTTAGACTTGCCTGCTGCACATCAGCATCGGACTCCTCACCTCACATCGGTATCTCGTGTCGGGTGTACCATCAGTATCTCGCGTCGGGTGTACCATCGGTATCCCATATTGCATCGGACATTCTCGGACTCGGACCTTTGGTCGGTCGGATATCTCAGGTCTTAGATTTTAGTTTCTTCCTTTCTCTTCCCTTGCACTATTAGAAGGAAGTGCTTCAATAGCAGTCCCCTTGGGTCGAAGTACTGCACTCGCACCCATTAGGATTTAGTAAGTTAGTTGGTATATCTAGCTGACTACTATTTCTTTCACCACAGCGTTATGCGCGAAGTTAGATGAACGACCCTGGTACCATTTCGTTAGTGTATGATACCATTGATGACAACTGTGAGTGCACATGAGCATCGGCTGCCCCACGTGAAAACAACGAGTGCTGGATGAGACCGGATGCCTTGGTTTTGACGACTGTGATGGTACTTCCTTGTGAGATAAGTTCGTACTCCAGGGGAACCACGGCGAGAGTGGCTTGTTTTATTTTGCTTCAAAAAGTTGCGGCATTGTTAAAAATCTGCGTTAGCACACTTTAAAATATAGTAAAGCATTATTGAAGTTAGCAGCACATACCACGATAGCCATCTCTGCTTTGAATTTTGGGTAGTAGCCTCAATAGACATGTCAGTGGGCTACTAGTAGTTGATATGAGATGGACAGACCTTTCTTGAGTTGGTGCTTCTGCTCTTGCCAATCCACAATGGCTTCCGCAATTATTTTACCGCATACTCCGCCGTCGTCAATGGCTGATTCACGTTGGGGAAATGGGGCCACGTTGGCGAGGTGTTGTCTAAAATTGGCCTTCGCAAAGTCAAGCAGTCTGACCCAAAGAGGAGGGAAGAATCCGAGTGTGGTTGGGTTGGCGGTGCCCTTCGCATTCTTGTTCTTCTTGGTGCTGCAACTCTGAACACCAGAGTCACACTCAAATTCGACATTGTAGTCATCGCGGTCCGAACCATCATCAGCTGGTGAGGGATTGTTTTTGCAAGGGTGTTTAGACTTTGGATGCAGATTACTTCGTTGCCCACTAACACCAATCAGATATGAAGGTGGTGGAGAACGTGGCCGATGGTTATTTGAATGGTGACACTGAAGCAGATCGTAGTCGATATTGGGCTAAGATATAATGATAGCATAAAATATATGAGTCAATAAGTACTTACTACTTCTTTGGCGCGTGAAGGAGCTTGCTTGCTGTTGGCCTGGAGGCAGCTAGCTTGCTTTCATGCCTCGTCATTGACGTATTGTCCTGCTTGTCCCAGGCGACGGTTGGTATGATCCAATGGGTCATGGTCCATGGGAGCCGTTACCGTACCATATAAGTCCCCGTCCAAATCCTTGTGCTCTTCACCATCAATAGTGGCATCGATGTCGTCTTCTTCAATGTTAGCGTCTTCCTCATCATCATCTTCTTTGAAGCTAGCGTCCCAATTCTCTTCCACATCAAAATCTCCCTCGAAGCTTGCATCCCGATTTTTCTCCATGTCGAAATCTTCCTTGACATCCATTTCCCTGTCCGTTCGAGTCTGTTCAGTTTCGTCGTCACTTCTATCCACAAAGGCACTTTTGCAGGCAGATGAAGCAGAACCGCCTGGAAGGGCTTGCTGTATTGTCAATAGCTCCTGTTGACTAGTATTAGAGTTGACATTGGAACTGTATGAACTTGAGCGAGAATGACAAAAACAAGCAAGGGCACCTTGGCGCTAGACAGGACGAGCAGGAGGCTCCACAGGACGAGCAGGAGGCTTGACAGGACGGGCAGAAGGCTTGACAGGACGAGCAGATAGCTTGACAGGACGAGCAGACAGCTTGACAGGACGAGCAGATGGCTTGACAGGATGAGCAGATGGCTTGACAGGATGAGTAGGGGGCTGGACATGAGATGTCAAATCAGGCTGAGGAGGATTGCATGATCCCTGGGCTATTTGATCAGTTTGCAACGGCTTTGAACTGACATATGCTGAGGGAAGTGGATAGTCTTGCAATCCGAACCTTCCATGTTCTGCGACATGCAGAACAGGTGTGGGACCTGCAGCAGTTGGGTCTGAGGTCTCCTGTCAAATTTTGGGTATCAATAGTACTCACTGGCAGCATTAGATTGATGAATCACTTACCAGTGCGACTGTTGGCTTGCTCGGACAAGTTCCTTTCTTCCTCTTCCGATTCTTCAAGTTTGATGGAGCCATCACATTTTCAATTTCATCAGGAGGGATGATGTCATTTGGTGCATTCAGCTTAAGCACTTTGACTGGACTCGCGATAGCATTGCCTACCCACCTTAACTGAGAAATCGCTCCTCCAGCACCAGTGTTAGCTTGCCCTGAACGATGGGGAGGTTCGACATCACCCGAGTCGACGACCTGAGTTGTCTTTTTCTGCTGGCCCATGGAAGTACGCACCGGCAGAGAGAACAAGAAGCGAACAGTTGAATGTTCAACTTGAGCATGTTTGAAGCGAGTCGGAAGTTCCAGGCTGAGTGCCGTACTACAATAGTTAGCACTATGTAGTAATACACCCAGACATCAGTTAGCCGTGCCTGTGTACTAATACTGCACAGCGCTGTGACTAAGTTTGCCTCACTTCCGAGTCAATTGAATTAACTTGAACCTACCTACTACTACCAAGGCTGGTAAAGTCTTGCTGGCTCCCAGTCACCTGTGCAGCGTGCGCTGTTATTAACCAAAATGTCGACCCAGTGCCCTAATTGTTTGAAATCGTTTGCAGGCGCCCTGGCTGTTACGCAACACCTCAGTCAACCTCTTACATCCTGTCTACAACGGATCGACAAGCTCCAGAGTGCATCACAGATTTTACTCGAGTCAGGCCAGCACACGACTAGTAGTAGTACTACCACCAGAAGACCAAGCCCTGTTCATTATGATTTCTCAGGCCCAATGGACTTTGAGGTGGAACCAGTGCTGGTGACACCACCTGAAGGGCAGGATGACTCAGACTTCTATGAGGGTGTTGCGGTGGACTTGGAGAATAACCTAGGGTCTTATAAAGAGTCTTGGGGCGATCGAGTATTGAAGAAGTCTTATGTTGAGCACTTTGAAGGTGCGGCCAAGACATATCGGTGTGGCCAGACCTTTCAGGATAGATTTCACATGGATCCATATTCCCATCATCATAGGGATAATCTGTACTATCCATTTGCATCCCTTCAGGACTGGGAGCTCGGAAAGTTTCTCCTATGCTTGTCCTTAAGTATGGCAGCCATAGATCAATTCCTGGGGCTGGAATTGGTATGTCTCGAGTCAGTTTTGCTGTTTTAAATTCTTATCTCTTTGCAGGTCAAAATGTTACATCTCTCCTTTTGCACAGCAAAGGAGCTACGTGGTTGTGCTGAGCTTCTGCCTTCTGTTCCGAAGTGGCAGTACCGCACCATGTCAATGACTCACCCAACAAAACAACTACTCTATCTCTACTGGCATGATCCGCTGGATTGTATCGAATCACTTTTTAGCCACCCGCTTTTTGCCAAGGAAATTGATCTTACACCTACACGTATATATGACACGATGGAACGTACTGTACGAATGTACAGTGAATGGATGACTGGGGATGCAGCATGGTTGATGCAGGTACATACCTTATCGATCTACGAGTTAGTAATATTAACTTGTTATCTCTCATCCCCTGTCGTAGTCACAACTTCCAGAGGGTGTAACATTGCTTGGTGTTATACTTTCCTCCGACATAACCAACATCACAAACATGACTGGTGGACGCGTTGCTCATCCGCTCCTTGTAAGCCTTGCCAATATCAAGATGGCGACTCGCAACAAAGCATCCTCCCATGCTTTCCTTCTCATGGCACTACTTCCGATCACTGAATTTTTGCATCTGGTGAAACGGTTGCAAAGTGTCCTTGAAGCCCACTTGATTCACCAATGCCTGGACGTCATTCTTGAGCCGCTCAAGCAAGCTGCGTGTGTCGGGCGAATGATGTCAGACCCGGTGGGAAACCTTAGGTATTGTTTTACGCCCTTAGCTTCGTATATAGTCGATACACCTGAAGCATGCATGCTTGCATGTGTTTGGGGACAGACCTCCCCCGTAACTATGGCTACGTATGTAAATTTTGGAGACACTTCCAACACCCCCCACAAACTGCTAAAACAACTCTTGACCAGCTGGCAAGTATTGAATGTGATCCCCAAGATATTGAAGCTTACTTTGCTGCATGCGCCCCCTTCCGCCTCAGCGGTGTTGCCCGTCCATTCTGGTGTGACTGGCCACTTGCAGATCCACCTCACTTTCTAACTCCCAAGGCCCTGCACCACTGGTATCGAGCTGTTGGCGCAGAGGAATTGGACTTTCGCTTCTCCATTTTACAGCCACTCACAACGTTCCAGCACTTCAAGGATGGTATTTCAAATCTTAAGCAAGTCACTGGAAGAACACAGCGGGATCTGCAGTGTTATACTGTTGCCCTCATTGCCGATGCAGCTCCCCCTGGCATTGTCATTGCTATTCAAGCACTCATGGACTTTCAGTACTTATCGCAAGCAGCAGTGATGGATGAACTGCATTGCCAGAAGATTCTTAACGCTCTCCAGGAATTCCATGACCACAAGCAAGACATCATTAGGTGTGGGGCGCGTAGAGGGGCCAAGAGCAAAAATGTCCTCGATAACTGGCATATCCACAAACTGGAGTTGATGCAGAGCGTCGTGCCCAGTATTCATCAAGTCGGTTCCCTCTTGCAGTGGTCTGCCAATACCACCGAGCATGCTCACATCACCTTGATCAAGGATCCTGCCGACTCTACCAACAACAACAATGTCGATGCTCAAATATGCCGGTTTCTCGATTGTGTTGAAAAGTGTCGAAATTTTCAGACTACGACATCAATCATCATTCAACTTTCTCAATCTGCCAATTCTCGGACAATGGACAATGGTTTGGAGTTGGACTATGAAGGTGCAGATGTTGATGAGGCAGATTCACAGGCTGCAGTTACCAATGATCTCTGGGGGCCAAAATGTCCCGTCACCAATTTCTTCAAGAAGGCAGCACAAGTCTCTTCGAACATCAAAGCAACCAGACCTGTCTGCACGTTTGTTGCTGGTAGTACAGCAATTCACCTCAATTTTGATCCTTCCCTACGGCGCATATTGGTTGATGTTGCAGCTGAAAAAAATTTCTGCCTGACTTGTGGGGAGCACTTGCTGACTACATTCAACAGGAAGGTCACAGTCACCCATATCAGAACTTTCACAAGCTGGAGGGGCAACACCATACAGTACCTGATGCATCTCTGCCATTTGATGACCTTATGGTCTGGTTCAAAGTACAGGTGCAGCAGGCATCATACTACAGCCAATCACCCACTCTTCCTGCTCTCACCATCAATGCATCTCCTCCAAGTGAAACTAGGAAGTACAGTCACTACGATGTTGCTATATTCGCTGTTGGTGACACTGAAGTTTAACAATGGCCAGCTAGTGGGCTTAAAGGTACAGTTTTCATTGTCAGTTTGTGTGCTACTAGTATACCTAATGTCTGAGCAACCTGCAGGCCACACTGTTGTTGAGGTGTGCCTTATTATGCAACTGCTTTTTCCGCGAGGAAAGACTACCCCTTGGGCTGGATATTTCCTCACCTATGTCCAATGTCTAGATGTCGTGACTCAGCGACGCGGAAGCGTATTGGAACGCACTACACAAATGCATGTTTTTAAAATGTGTGATGCAATCAGCAGGGGTTCCCTTCGGTGACATCCTCCCGCTGGATCAACTTCGTTCTTTTGCACATATTGTCCCCTGGTTCGGTCTCATTGCTGATGCCCATCTAACAGCACAAAATAGTGCTCACTCTGCTCATGTTTTCTTCTTGAACAAATACATCAACACAGAGTTCTATTACGCCATCTCAAATTCATAGTACTAGTATCACGACAAATATGATAGCAGGGGCTATATAGCTTCAAATTGTGTAGACTCAGATGTTTCCTCCTAGAGAGCTCCATTGCTATATAACACTGCACTGATTGCAAACCAGTTGTACAGCACGAGGTGGCGCTGTACAGTATCAGGTAGCGCTGTACAGCGCTACCCATCATGATGTAGATATAACACGTGGTTTTTAGCCGACTAAACTGCAACTTGAACAATAATGGACCAGTGGGATTGGTGGCACAACTTGCCCTAGTAGCTAACTGACAGTGGCCCATTATAGTACCACTACACAGTACTCTCAATGTCTCTCGGTGGTTCTTTCATCAAACTCCCGCAAATGTACTCCAAACTCTAAACCATGAACCTTGACACTACTAGTAGTAGTAAAGCCTTGCTGGGCTCAGGCTGGTCTCCACCACCCTCCATTACCTCCTCTCCATGTATACAACTTGAAGCCCAAAAATCAGCAAAGTCCTCCAACATTTGCCTACCAGACAAAGTATCAGACCAACACTTGCTTGACAATCTCAAGGCAGTACTGAAAGCAAGACTTGACCTTGAAGATAATCAAGATGGCTTAAGCCTGGGTTAGGATTTCTCAGTTCGCTTATCTATTCCAACAAGACTTCTTCCTGACCATCATATTCTAGGGCACTGTGCTATCATTCTTGAGGCTCTTCAAAATCCTCGACCCAACACATTCGTAGGCCCCCTTCAACTGTTCAGCGAGCGATTTTGAACACCATCCAAGGTCATCACCAATGTTACACCTGCAGAGTATGCTGTAGTTTTTGCATTTATATCAGAGGAATCAGATTTCAGTATCAGAGCAAAGTGAACCCTATTAATTGCACACACAAATCCTAATGCTGATCACATCTAGATTCAACTATTTCCAGGACATGCAAGAGCTTCAAATCATGACCCCACTCTCTATCCATGAACAACCAACCACGCATCTTTTCAAGGCTGTCACCAAGTACACTGATGGTATCCCTTACAACAAACAACTCATCGACGTCACCCTCCATCTAAATCACCGCATGCAGAACAAAGACTTCACCAATATTCCCGACTTGTAACTGTTAGTTGCAACCCATCCACCAGAGGGTGAGGACGATGAAGCCAAAATAGAGATGCTGAGGCCCGTCAGCAAATGGGTGGGGGAATGCAGATTGTCATCAGATAACAATAGCATGATTCGGAAGTTGAGGACGATGACTGATAGCTCTGGAGAGACCAACTATGCACTAATGATATCATTGCGAGAACGGAATAGATGGCAACAGTCAAAGGACGATAGCATTGCAAGTCAAATCCTTTGTGCGAGTCCCACCTTGGACTATGAAGATTTCATCCCTCATCGTATCAAAAAATCATTGAAGTTTGGGCCAGTAACTATCCACTCCCACATCTGGATCGATGTGGCTCAAGTCCGATACACCATGTTCAAGCACAGTGCAGATGGCCACTTCGACTTCAGCAGTAAGAACACAGAGACGTTCGCAGAAGAGGTATGTTTAATTTTTTGTATTTACTAAGATATTAATTATCACTCTGCAGACCATCTACCCTGAGATCAAGATGGACAACGTCGAACGCATGTTGAGTGAGGCCGCTGGGAGTTTGAAAGAATATATTATATCATTGTTGGAGGGGATGGGGTCAGAGGAGCCTGCAATCCGGAGTGCACGTGAGTCTCGTCCTGTGTGGGACCCCATGTGGGAGGCTGCTGTGAACCAGATCTCTACCGCCGTGTATCTTACGGCTTACTGCCGCTATGTGGATTGGCATCACCACATATACGACAAGTGCAAGTCGTCGCATCAAGAAGTCACTCAGGCTACTTCCACTTCACTGCTCTTGTCTGATCCAACAGCTGGGTCCTCATCCAACCTCACCACTTCATCCTCAACTGATCAGCCGCACACGCCCTCCACTGGATTATTGATTGATATTGAACTGGCACGCTTAGCGAAGAAAGCGAAGGTGGACAACAGGAAGGTTCCCGAGGCAAAGACGAAGAAGTCCAAGTCCAAGAAGGCGAAGGGACAGGCAAAAAACTTGTAGGTTTGAGCTGGGAGGGTGAGCATCCATAGTACGTTCAAATTTATTGTCTGATCTCATCCGTATCTTAGTGTTTGCGTTGTTGCTGTGTTCAGCCTGAGTCACACTGATACTATCACTGCCGTTTAATATACCATCATCCATGAACTGTTTCGTTTTCAATTTGTTCCCTAGTAATCTACATGGTGTGTACTTGTAGATTTTGCCGCATGCGACTGTGTATACTAAGTATGATATCCCCAACTCACAAGAGGAGGGCTTTGTGGGGTACTTCAAATCCATTGTTGTGCAGGGTGTACTACTAGCTTCCAAGTGTTTTGCACCGAAGTTGAAGCCTTGTCAATTGAAAGTCATGTTACAATTTGAAGCGAGTTATTACTATAGTATTGAGTCAATGATCGTTGCACATGTGACTCTGAATCAGTAACTTCAACTTAAACCTATTGGCGATGGACAGCGTCCAACCTACAACATCTGAATCTCTTGAATGCAACTTGATGGACATTCCATCTCCAAGCCTCTCGCAGCCTTCATCACAGTGGACCCAGAGAAAAACCGGTATATGCGCTACCGAACTTGGCTCAGAAGTCAACTTTGCTTCAGCCTGAGTGCTGCCAACATTCTGAGGTCTCCAGCACACCTGGGCTATTCGTGAACAGTACTACTAGTACTAGTACCACTTCTGTCAACTCATCTACCATTTGCGATACCCCCTCCTTGTCCATACCTCACAATAGTAGTATTACTATGTCTAGTAGGGCTGGGCCACACATTTTTAACTCTGGGATAATCGGAACTCCCAGGGCTATTGGTTCTTTGTGAACACACCGGTCCCCTGTGTTATTGCACCATTTAAGCACACCGAGCATCGCGAATTACACATTTTCCTCGACCACAGTTCCGGCATCAGCAAAAGTTTCAACTCGGATAACAACAGAGTTGAGCTGTGATGACAGTGATAATGTACGTTTGTGCACTTCCGATATGTTTTCTAAATAATAATGTTCTCTAGGAATCTACTAACTCTAATGACATCAGTCGTAGTGAGGAACTCAAAGCCCAACTTGTATTGAACGCAACATGAGCACAACGAGATGTTCGCCTTGCAGAGAAGAAACTCACAGACTGCATTCTCAAGGAGAATACTGCGCTTGGGGTGCTCTACAAGTTCGAAGCTACAGAAGCCGAGAGAAAGTTAGAAGACGCCAATATGGGCATTGGTTATGTACACCACTCCCTTCGCAAAAGCAGTATCACCTTGTACGAGGACTTAGGCTCTAGTAACCCTCCTCCGAAACACCATCGCACTTCTGTTACTAGTAATAGTCAGCATGGTGAACAGGTCGTAGCCTCAATACCAGGTACTGGTACTCAGAAAATTTTATCTAACCATTTCAAACTCACATGCTTTAAGGATCTGCAAACATGATATTCGATTCAGAGCCTGCACAGTGGGACTTGTGCTAAAAAATTCACCGAGCAGACCCATCATGGCGGGTACCTGTCCTACTAGTATTCTACCTGTTGTTTATAATAGGATATTAGTAATAGTACATACCACTCAGATGATACTACGATACTTGTGCCTATGTGTCAATGTCATCCTGCCTGTGCATCCATTGTGTTCAACTTTCTGGCATGTTCAAATTGAAGTTGTGTAGCGGTATAGTACTAGTAGAACCAGAACCAGAAAATGGACGCTGTATCATGCAGTGTTGCACTATGCCAAACTGTGCTACACTACCCATCTGTACCATTATATGGTTAAGACTACACAAGCCTATGACCCTGACACCATACAGAGCTACCTAGCGCTACGGGTGCCTGTGCGGCTGTAAGGCGCTGTAACATGCTGTGAGCGCCTGTAAGCGCGTACAGCACTGCTAAATTTAGTGTTTTGCTGATGTGCAGGAATTTCTGAAGGTGCAGTAGAGTTGTTTATGAAGTGATGCTTTGATGCTTTTAAATCTCTGCATGACACTTTTGTGTGCTTACCAACTGCTGAAGAAAAGGAAATTGAGAAGTTGTGGATAGATGACTGGCTCAAATTCTGAGGAACTTGGAGGGAAGGCTGGGTGATGTATGACGGGACAATTATTGTTCTGCATACTAAGCCAGGTCTCAATGGTGATGCATATTATACACGAAAGTCAAACTATGGACTGAATCTACAGGTACTATATCACACAGCTTTTTTAAACAATATTGAAGTGCTTTGACAGATTGGAAATTTACCATCTAATCTCCGTATCATGGACTATGCACATGGCCTGACTGGCTCTGCCCATGATGCCTCTGCCTTTGAGCATACTGCAGCTTCAAAACATACAGATTGGTTTTTCAAAGGCGATGAGTTTGCCTGGGTAGACTCTGCATATTCAGTCAGTAACCATACCATTCCAGTCCACAAGTGTCCTGCTTCTCTCATCCCTGAGAATGCTCTATTTGATAGTGCAGTAGCCCATCTCCGAGTGCGCTCTGAACATTGCATGGGAGCTCTGAAAGGGCACTGGCAATGCTTGTGGGGGATTTGGGTGACCATCACATCAAAGCACCATCATCAGGCAGCATGTGACTGAATGATAGTGGCCATTATCTTGCACAACCTTGTGATAGAGGTTGAAGGAACAGTACAAGGGGCACACTTCACTGGGATCCACACTCACACTGAGGAACAAGAAGATAGAGGATTGCCTGATATTCCTCCAAGTCAAGTGATTGGGAATAATGGAGACCTGAAATGACAAAGGCTTGTGGAAGAGTTACTGGCATTTCAACAAATGTAACAAAGTATTTGATGAACTACTATTACCAAGTATATATGATATAAAGGTGTTAATGAGTGACTAGAAATTGACCACAAGGAGTGAAAATTATTGAGAGGGGAAGGAGGAAATTATACTAAGACTCATCATCCCAATCTGGCCAATCTGGAGAGTAATGAGCACACTTCACAGGCTCAGCCTTGTCAGAAGGCTCGTGCATCAGTTCATGGAGTTTTTCACGATACTCATCAACATTCCAAATGCCAGCCTTGAACTTTTTGAGCAGCATCTGGCGCTCTTGAAGCTGCCTATCTGCTGTAGTACGAGCATTGATAGCATCTAAACTTGCCCTTTGCACGCATAAGAGTAAGGCTAATCAAAATATGAAAACGACATACTTCTGCATATCAATGAGTGTCTTGTCAAGGGTGCACTTCTTTGGAACCTTGGAGATGCATTACCTGGCTTTGGTGAGACTGTCTTGCAACATTGACGAGGATTTTGGGGGTCGCTTAGTTATCGAGGTAGGGGTTGACTGTGAGGATGCAGGAGGATCATTCTCCTTGTCGTCGACATCACAAAGAGGTTGAGAATAGTCAGAAGGATCTACAATAGCATCAAACGAAGACTCAAAAGATGGTGAGATTCCACAGTGTGCTGCCTCGTTTTGAAGGGCTGTATGGAGGCTCTGGATCTGCGACAATTGCTCTGGCACAAATTCTGGTCCTTCGCCATCACTTGGAGGCTGGTAGTGCACAGTCTTCCTGCCCTGTGGGCCAACACCAGTGGTGATGGCTATCGGAGTGACATTTGGACGAGAAGATAAGATTCAATGGAGCACAGGAAAGAATTGGAATTGCTCGACAATCTCATCTGCATAATGTTAGAATTATTCTGAGAAACATAAGTAACATACCCCAAATACACTGTGCCATTGGAGTTGTGGTCGTATTAGGTCCATCAGCGGGGACATAGCATTCAAAAAATTCATTGTCGGAGATGTTGCCATTCACATCAGACTGGACACCTTCACCAGTTGTCCATGGACGTCGAGCATGCAGCTTGTATTTTTTTGTTAAGCTGCATGATGGACTTGTAAGGTAGAAAATAATAAGAGAAGCACAACACTCACTACTTGTACTTTCGTTTGACTTGGTCCCCCATCACAACAGCATTCTGGCTGTGTAATTGTGGGAAAACAGAAGCTGCCATGCGCTGATATACTGTCACTTTGCTATCACCTGATGTGTTCTGCAACAGAAACATCATATCTTGTATCATATAAGATAGGCCTCGAGCAGTTTCGGTAAATGTCACGTGATATGCGTGACAAAAGCATGAATGTATATAGGATGTTCGTAGCGACAAGATATAAAAAAACAGAGACGGAAGAGTTGTAGTGTATGTACTTCTCGACGAGTCGTCCGTTACAGAATTACCATTTGTGCAAAATTGAAGGAGGAGATGCCAACACAAGCAAGATGTGACTTGCTGTGACGTTACCGGGAATGTATACCTTGCATCTTGCTTGTGTTGGCACCTCCTCCTTCAATTTTGCACAGATGGTAATTCTGTAACAGACGACTCATCAAGAAGTACATACACTACAACTCTTCCGTCTCTGTTTTTTTATATCTTGTCGCTACGAACATCCTATATACATTCATGCTTTTGTCATGCATATCACGTGACATTTACCAAAACTGCTCGAGGCCTATCTTAACAACTTTAACTCACTCACCTCACCCTTCTTCCACTTGTCTAGAAGCACGACTCTGTTCTCTGATAACTCAATCTGCACCAATAGCTGCCAGACTAAGTTGCCGGTCCAAACAATCTCTGGAATTGTGACACTGCTATCCTTCTTCTTTGCCATATGTGCAGATCTGATTGATGTGACAGTGAGTACAAGGTGACAGCTAATTGTTAAATTTTTAGATTTACATTTGTATTATCTAATTATGCAAACTACATTTTAGGTGACATCACGTGGGCGAAGGGGTCATGGGCGTAGGCATTGGGTGTGGGCGCCCAACTTTGAACGTCCCTAATTTCTCCAGATATTGTCTGCTCCTAAAACTGACTTTCCACTCACTCGCTATCATCCTGTTGAATTTTCTGCTACACGCTGGCTATGTCTAAGTTGTGCTTAGTGTTGTGCAAAGCCCGGCCTGAAGCCCCAGGCCGAGCTGAGCCAAGCCTTGTTGGGCCGGGCCAAGCCGGGCTTTGGAGTAGGGCCTATGAGGGCTTTGGGCCTGGCTTGTTGTCTGCACAGGCCTGGGCTGGGCCCTTGAGCCATGGCTTTCTGAGCACATGTAAGGATTACCAATCATCTGACGCGGGAAACTGCCATTTCAACACTTACCTCGATCTGGCATCAGCGCACTGCCAACCTCAGTCAGCATGGACATCGACTCCTTATCTCTCATCATTGTCAACCCTCAGCTCACATTCATTGTCACTGTCACCCTATTCTCAGTTCACCGTGTCTGATTCTGTCAAAACCAACATGCAATTCTTGTCACTCTGTCAATACCATATCCTTTTATATCGCCATTCACTCAATCATTTCGTAGCCTCTTCCCTTTCAGTCTACTCTACCCTGTTAGGTGCAACACCACTCCCTTCAGCATCCATCATCACATAATTGATTCAGCATAGCTATATCTGACCCTTAAATGTTTTGCAGTATAAAAGTAGCCCATGTACACTCCTTACTACAGGCAATCATATCCAGTCTCCAAGTCTCAGTCTCACACTTGTCATCTAAACAGTATTGCTATATCTATCGTTGATCCTCTCAAAATTTGTTTTGATCCATATTGCATAACTTTCGTTAAACACTAATCTAATTCTACAGCGCATTCACATTGCACTAGCGGTCTCCACACCCCTTCAAACTCGCACCAAGAGCCACACAGCTGATCTAGAATTATCATCACTTTGGAGGGCTCATGAGGCTGCTAAAATGTCACTTCCCACTGTGCCGGCCACAAAACCTACCAAATGCAAGGCTCCAGCTCCCAATCCACAAGAAAGTTCTGTCCCTGCAACACCAGTACAAAGCCCTGGCCTGAGCCTGAGTCTGGCCGAGCCGAGCCTGAGCCGTTGAGGAGGGCCTGGCCTGCAATCTGAGTAGGCCTGAGCCCTGGTAAGCCGAGCCCAAGCCCCAGCTTTTGGGCCGAGCCAGGCCTTACACAACACTAGTTGTGCTAACCTTCCATTATGACCTGTACCTGTAGGATTGATATATCACTACCTATAACTATAAGTCATTTGTGATACATGTATTACTATGGGCCACAGATGGTATGATACATCACTGTACTATAGATTGTAGGTTGACTTGGCCCTAGTACAATCATAGGCTATGTCCAAGTATACAGTTGCGGACAACCAAAATCAGCAAATTTGAATGACACCAAAGACTGATTTTCCTGGGGCCACAAATGACTGGGAATCCATTTTTAGTGCAGAATATGTTTATTGAGGACCAGTGCAATGGATTTGCATGAGCAGATTGTCCAAAAACTCTCATTTGAGGATTTTCTAGGCCAAAATTTTGGCGGGTACCACAAACAAATCGCAAAAATCTCGAAAAATATGGCAATCGCTTCCTTTTGATGTCCTGTGCATGATTCCATTGAAATATTACAAAAATAACAAGCCGTTCTAGTGCTAAAAATGGTAAGTGTTGAGGTAATTACCCCTGGAAGGTCCTTCAAATGCTCCTGAACTTCTATCGGCTGAGCCACAAATGGGTGAAATCATACGCAATAAAGTCTACATAGCTAAATTAGAATGATTTTTTTGTCAATGACATGTCATCTTGGTAATATAGGCCCCCAAAATGGTGCCAAAGGGGTACACAACATCTTTCAAATTGTCCAAAAATTTGGCGGGCCAAAACCCTTGTGGGAAAAACTTTGGACCACTGTTTTTAGACATATTTTCACTCCCTGAGTTCAGATCTGGCCTTGGTTTGGCACCAAAAATTCATGCTGGATAAATTGGTGGTGTTTGCTTGTTCACAACTGTAGTTCACTGCTATACTACTACTGAAGTTTTGGCCCTGAGATCGAGCATCTGTGATCAATCTGTGATCAGGCCAAGTCTGCACCGAACTTTGGGATAAACATAGATATATATTGTGCCTGAGAACATCGCTATACTACTGACAATCTAATAGCTCGGTGCAGCACTATTCATTGACTTCAAAAGTCCACAACTACAGGAGGTGCATCAATTGAAGGGCCACTGTCATCATTGGGAACTGGTACAGGGACTGCAGGAGTGGGATTGAGCTGAGCAATGAAGCTCCAATGGGCTTGGAATGAGTTCCACATTGCAGAATGGAGTGCAGCTTGATGGTGTGCATATGCCTGCAAGCCCTCTTGCTCACTAGTCTTCACCAATGAGTGCAGAGTTGCACGCTGATGCCACCAGTGGCCTTGCCATTCCAGAAAGGTAAGCACTCATCTCATTTCTTTGACCAACAACTCCACTTCCTCAGACCATCGAACTGTGCAGTGTGCATGCCTTACACCATTCTATATGGACACCTATGTAAACCAATCCGAATCTGAGTGAGTTAGCTGTTGATCATGTCAACTAGAAACACTCACAGTCTTGAACATGATCGCTCTCAGATGGACTGGTGTCTCCATCTGTGACCAGCCAGATCCAAGAGATCATCCTGGTGCCCTGAGTGTGATCACCTGCAAAATCACCCATAGGTCGAACATCCTCGTGTCTGAGAAGTCGAAGTCTTTCCTCCCACCCCATTTTATCCAACTGACAGCTTAGTGATTCCAATGCTCAATGCGCACACTTGTACTTTTCAACCGCTGCATCTTTCTTAGCTTCGACACGTGCAATCAGATTCTGCGCATGGGTGGAAGCTGCTTGGCCCCGTAAGTTCTTGTCCTTAAATTTATACATGTGCGAGCATAGACGAAGGTGGGAGTGGAGTTTGTTGAAGGCATCATGAGCCTGTGCCTACTGAAGTTCCCACTCGTACTCCATTAAATGGTGATCACAGTCCAGATGGTTGAGAGCTGATGGTAGATAGAGTTGGAACTCTTGCGGCTTCGGTAGTGCTTGGGAGGCACTTGCACTTAGGTTTGTTGACGAGTGCAGCATCAAGACAATAGGCATGTAGAGTTGTTGATAGCGGGTCCAAGAATCAATACATCTTTGTAGTGCGCTAGTCCTCTGCATGATGGCCTCTCTTTGCTTATCTGTGGGATGAAGTGAGAGGTTGGGAACATTGTATTTGAGCCGTTGTCTGTCATAAAATTGAAATGATGAACGCGACTTGAAAGAGAGATTTTACATACTGCATATCTTCTAATTCAATCCTGCCACTAATAATGTTACGAACTAGGATGGTTCAGACGTATGGCTACTCGATAAGAGTAATCGGCCAAGGTCGTTTCAAGGCTTCGGCGTATACCGAAGTTCAATGGTTCACTAAGACAAGACAAGGAGAGTGTCCTCAACTTGAATCACGTTCAATACGACTTAAGATTGGAGGTCTTAAGCGAAGGAAGTTCCAGGTAAAACCTAGTAAGATTAAAGTAAAGAACTACATAGTACAAAGCGGGTTTATATAGGGAACGGTAACAGCTTTAGGGCCGGTACGATGAGGTCATAAGGATGAGTCAGAGATAAGGCGAGTCAGAGATAAGACGGAGTCAGAGATAACAAGAATAGATCATCTAGCGACGGCAAGATGCGATCGTGATGTAATACAATGATGTAAGAGAAAGAAAATGAATAGGGGCGTACTTGACTGTAACAAATAAGGATGCTGGGCAAGACGTCAACATCGAGCGAGTGGTTGGTCTCTGCCTGCAGCTCTTGTGCCTCCAATACTGTGAGTTGTGACTGTACTGCAGCCTGTGTAATAGCTACACATAAAGATCAGCCCAAGCATATAGCACATATGGGTAGTGACTTACGAGTGACCTTGCTTTCAAAAGGATTTGGTCGAGTGTTGTCCTCCTCCCAAATCTTCACTTCTAATCTCCACTCGTCCAATAGTGTGGGCTGAATGGTTCCTTCCAGATCGTATAAGGCAATACAATGTTCCTGTTCCCATTTTATGGCTTCCTCCATCTTGTGCTTCAATGTATGACCTTGAGAATCTGAAGTATCAGGAACAACAGTGAAAACTTACCAAGCATGGTTGTTTTTTCCAATTCCAATCGCCAAAATGGTCATCTAATGTATCATGTTGACTGACACAAGTACTGCACTAAGGGAACATTGAGTATGTCAACCTACAAAAGTCTGGACTATATATGTACACACCTCTTGCCTTTCGGTAGCTCAGTTGGATAGGTAAGCTTTGTAGGCACACTCCTCCATGAAATATGCCCATCCTGCATTCAAACCAGGATCCGCTTCATCAGAGGAGACAGCCTTCCATTTGAGACAGAAATTCGTGTCTATAGCATTGAAGAGCGCATATAACCATCTGTCAAACAGGGTGAGATAAACATCCTCGAAATTTTTAATTTAAACATGCCTCATTGCTGGAGGTGAATCCTCCCAACTGCTGGGCAAATTTTTGCCTGGATGTGGGCATGTGGGACACAGCACCACTGACCTGCACCAAACTAGTTCGGAGATTAATTCTTGAATTCAGTTTCATTTCATTCGGCTTACAAATGACTCAGCATGAACTTCTCACATGTCAGGTGACTGCAAAAATTACTTCCCATGTAAGTTGTCCTGTGAGAACATGCAGGAAACCCTAAATACAAAGTACCGCACCAGTTTAGCCCCTAACAGAAAATGTAATAGCCAAACACAAACACAACACATGGACTGGTACATTATATAATCAGTGTCTAGATCTTTTCTGCTTTGTCATGAGAAGTCACATGATGTATCAATATACCACAACTATTTATGATACTCATCCCGCGCGTCTGTGGGCGTGGGAGCTAGAGAGAGTACCAGAGAGAATCATAGTATATTAGAAGGCACCCGCTGTTTTGGGTGGGGTCTCAGTAAGTCTCTAGATCTACAGAAAGTCCCTAGGCTAAGTGAGAGGGAGACGGGACATCTGACTCGACGACTGAGGCCTGGGTTGTGCCGGGAGATCGAGGGGACACAGAACCACCCAACAGTGCAGGAAGGACGCAGGACATGTATGGGGACCCGAAGACGCACAGAAGAACCCCCACAAGCGGAGGAAAGTGACCCAAAGGAGTGAAAACAAATGCAAGAGGACGGATGGCAGGGGCCCTGGAGAGTCAAGGTTGAGGTATGGAGGACAACCGTGGGCTGGGTAACTCAGCATGCAGGGGAGCTAGGTGTTCGAGGCAACGCCAGTAGCACAGGAAGGCATCAGAGGACCAGCGGCCTAGGGTTTTGACAATGTGTGGTGGAACACTGCAGAGCAGGAGCTCAGTGGTCCCCCCAATATGAAAGGAGTGGCCAGAGATCGCAGGGTAGCCATGTTGTGACCACACGTCATTGCAGTGTGATAGGAATTTTCGCTTTGTGAGGGGGACGAGAGCCCCAGATGGGGATTGGTAGGCAAAAAGGTGCGAAGAAGGTTGGAGAGGGTTGACAGAGAGATGGTTGTTGAGTGAGGTGATCGGATCAGAGGGGGCATGTTGGCGACCCAAAAACAGATCCTCACCACGATCACGTGCTGTTTTGGACCAAGGGAGGAAGAGCACGCGAGAACAGCCAGTGGTAGATATGGGACGTAGGTTTGCCACTGTGGGGAAGTGGCGAGGCAAGAACTTGGCCTGGGAGATGGGCAGAAACTCGCTTAGGCGGGCTTGGCCCCAGGTGGTGCAGTCTGCTGCTGCCAGACAGGCAGCATCGAGAGGATCAGTGAGTGAGAGGTGGGAGTGCACGGGCAGGCCATTTGGAATCTGAAGGGGTAGCATGGTGAGCACCGCGGATAGTGTAGGCAAGGCGAGTACCCCCTTGGTAAGGGACCCCATTGAGAATGTGCCAGTCCCGAATGCCGGACAAGTCATTGGCGATGGCACCACCTGAGCGAGTGCTGGCCTCGAAGGCAGCAAAGGCACAAAGGAGAAATTCATTGGTGGGGAGGGTGAAGGAGGTATGGATGTTGTTGGCGGAGCAGAAGGCCAGAAAACGGTTGACGCCAAGTTGGTAGCCAGCGAGGGTGGAATCCTTCCATGAGTTGAAGACGATGGAGTCAATGCAGGCTGCAAGGTGAGGGAATGAAGTTGCTGAGATGGGCAGAGGGAGCTGAGGGCGGACAGACTCCACGGCCTTGGAAACAATGGCCTCTAGGATGGGGTCAGCGAGAGGCATGGATCGTACTTAGAGATAGCTGAGAGAAGAACCAACGCTGCTGCACAGTGCGATGTCACATGGAAATTGGCAAAATAGATTACTAAGCTGAAGATACACCATGGACTAACAAGAACAAGATGAGGCAAAGGTACAAAATACAAGGCACAATTACATGGCTGACACGAAGGGACAAAGGGCATTGGGAATGTACGCAACATGAGCAAACTTAGGCAAATTTGGGAATATGCCATGTGAGGGGCGGTCAGCGAGGTTGTCTTTTGAGGCCACCCAGATGGTGGTGAACCAAAGAGAATGCTTGAGGAGGAGAGATGTAATCCTGTGGAGCACGCTATTCTGCTCTGCATTGCGTGAGAGCCCAGCACAAAGGGCACCAACAACACCACTGTTGTCAGAGCGTAAGATGAGGTGGGCATTATGAAAACCTGCTGCAATGATGCTCCGGAGCGCAAGCTCAACAGCCACCATTTCGGCCCACCCAATGTCGCGTCCCTCTGAGTGCCAAGAGCTGCCCAGGCGCCAGGCAGCCCAGGAATCACCTAGGATGAAGCCAATGCCCGAAGAGGTGGATGCATCAAAATGGGAGTTGGCAAGGGAGTAGGAGGAGCCATGATGAGCATGCCACAGAAGGGCCGAGCTAACTGGTCACGCCACCAGGCAATGTCCACGAGGACCTCTGCTAGGATGGAACAGGTAGCGAGAGAGTGGGCATTTGGATGGAAGCGGCTGGAGAAGCGATAGAGGGAAGGGAGATGTGTGCGGCTGGAAGTGAGGATGACCGAGCAATGATTAAAGGTGCCAACCACCACTTTGATGTCCCTTCTTGAGATCCTGGCACCCCTGACCCAGATGGCAAGCCAAGCCAGGTATTTAACCTTCTTGCCCTCAGGAAGCTGGACAGATCGGCCAGGGATGTCCCAGTCGAAATCCAGGTAGGGGAATGCGGGGGCAAAATCGCGGAACTTGGGAACAGACCAAGGCCACCCCAGATAGTCTGCAGTGGACCAGATAATGGTGGCTTCCACGGTGAAGGTGAAATAGCCGTCTGGGTTTGAGTAAGAGGGGTAGCGAAAAAAAACAGAAAGTCATCAGCCCATTTAAGGATGTCCTTGAATGATTTGAAGCGGAAGATGGCAACGATGCCATCTGCAGAGCGGCCAAATATACCCGACAAGCTGGAGGCACCAAAGCAGGCATTGTGGTCAATGTGGACCTGCCCATCCCAGAATATGGTGATGTGAAGACGGTCTTCTGGGGCAATAGGCATCCGGCGGTGGGCAGCATCAACATCAAAAATGGCGGCCTCTGTACCCAGAGGTGCGTTTGTGACAAGGAGGAAGCATTGGGCAAAAGTGCCCCAGTCACAAGAGAAGGCGGAGGAGTCAATCTCCGAGTTGATGGACTGCAGGTCAGGGTGATTGCGAGAAATGAGTGGTCCTGAATAAGGTGTGATTTGCCAGAATTGGGGTTGAAGACCACACCAAGTGGCGAGGAGCGGAAAGGGCCAAATAGCAGTTCAAAAAGAGCTGGGTCATATGGGTCAGAGTATCTACCGGCAGCAACTTCATTCGGGATGTGAGTATTGATAATGTCGGGGTGCTCTAAGGCAGACCAGTGATTGGGGGGCAAGAAAGTAGAGGTAAGAGATGATGAGACACCAAGATGGAAACCATCAGAGATGCCAGCAACCACATCAGAGTAAGACTCGAGAACACCTGCTTCACAGAGCAGTTCCTCCCACTTCTGCCAGCGAAGGGGGGTCACAATGAGAAAGAAATGGTTACGCAGGGTGGGATTGAGCATGATGTTCTGCGGACCTGCAGCAAGAGCAGACGTGAGAGAACATGCACCCGGAGGGAGGGTTGGCGCATCCCTTGGAGCTGTTGAAGAAGCAAACTGAGACGTTGCCAGGACCCTTCCAGGTACCTTGAGTGTCTTTGACAAGCCAGCCATTGTCAATGGAAGGGCATTTATTGGGGTGGTGGAGCTCCCCACAGAACCAGCAGAGGGATGTGATGCAAAAGGAAGAAAAGGTGGGCTTATCTCCAGAGTCTGCAGCAGCCTCCCTCCGAAAGGAGGTTTGGGCAGGATGAGGGTGTTGTCCTGAGGGAGCAGAGGATGAGGAGGCAGAAGGGTGGGATTGAGCAGCCGGAGGCTTGCTCACAGAGGTGCTGGAGCTCATGTGGACCATCATACAGTGGCTCAAAAAAGTGTCTCAATGTTTGTGGCTTTTCATGTAATTGCTTTCTTGTGAGTCAGGACATGGGAATATGACTAAGCCATAGGGAGGGGTGGAAAAGCCCTGCTTCTTCGCTTCAATTCCGTCCCCTACAGCGTGGGAAGCTGATGTTATCAAGTGAAGATATGGTCATTTTAATTTGGTGATTCATTAAGACACTTTTTTGACTTTATAAAAATTTAGCAAAATCAGGTCACCTAGACAAAATGTTATGACTAAATATCTAAAAAAATGGTGTTATGTCAATAATATGGTCTGACTGTAATATCTTACATCTATATAAGTGCAAGCTAGAGCATGAAATTCTCCATAATCCTCATGAAGTCTATCTCCTCTACTCAACAGGATAATATCCTTGTTCTCAGCTTCTCTAGTCTATCTACTAGGTAGATTGCTTCAAAAACTGGTTTAAGTTGGGCTACTATTGCTAGGGTCATCAAGAAATCTAATCCAAATAAAGAAAATATCAATATGGGCCATCCTTCCAAGCTCACCCCTCATGATAAGAGGGCTATTGTTCACTGTATTCTATCTGAAGAAGCTTCAAATGCTGTTCAAGCCACCAAATTCATTAATTCCATCATCCCCTCCACTGTCTCCACCCAAACAGTCAGAAACACTCTCAAGGCAGCTAACCTGAAAGCTATAACCAAGAAGAAGAAATCTCTTCTTTTACCAACTCATAGGAAGAAGAGACTAGTCTTTGCTCTGAAGCACCAACACTGGACTGTTGAGGACTGGAAAAGAGTTATTTAGTCAGATGAGACCAAAATCAATAGACTGGGGTCAGATAGTTAGGAATATGTGTGGAAAAAGGCAGGTGATCCACTAGGAGACTAGAGAAGTGAAAGGCACACTCAAGTTTGGAGGAGGAAACTTGATGGTGTGGGGCTGTATGGGATGGAATGGAGTGGGGGTTCTGTGTGAGGTGGAGGGGAGGATGAATGCAGAGCAGTATGTCTCCATTCTAGAGGAGTGTCTGCTTAGAAGCATGAAGGAGTCAGGTATTGATGAAGAGGACATCATCTTCCAGCAGGACAATGATCCAAAGCATACCTCAAGACTGGCTACAAAATAGTTTGAAGACCATAATATCAATGTTCTATTATGGCCAGCACAGTCTCCAGACCTCAATCCCATTGAACGTCTTTGGGAATTACTCAAAAGACTACTTGCTGCCTATCAAGATCCTCCAAAGGGGCTATTTGAACTATGGGAGAGAGTTGTAGTAGAGTGGAGAAAGATTACTAAGGAGGAGTGTCAGAAATTGATAGAAAGTATGCCTAGGAGGGTAGCAGCAGTTATTAAAGCCAAGGGGGGGTAACACAAAGTACTAGAATCATACAATAGCATTGGTAAAATACAAAGTCAAAAAAGTGTCTCAATGAGTCACCAAATTAAAATGACCATATCTTCACTTGATGACATCAGCTTCCCCCACTGTAGGGAACAGAATTAAAGCGAAGAAGCAGAGCTTTTGCACCCCCTCTATGGCTCAGTCATATTTCCACATCCTGACTCATAAGAAAGCAATTACATGAAAAGCCACAAACATTGAGACACTTTTTTGAGCCACTGTATGGTTGAACTTCGCCATGCGTTCCTCACGCTGCTGATCAAGGATGGACTGCCACACATGGACCTGGAATACGCTGGGGTAGAAGTCACCAGAGCGCTTAGGGAAGGCCATGCGAAGGGACTCATCATAGATGAGGTATGTGGCAAAGGCTGAGTATACATCAGGGCGGCCAAAGATCAGGTCATAGTGCTTCTGCCAGGAGGCAGCAATGGCAATGCGGTCAGGAGAGGCAAGGTAGGAGGAGATGAGCAGGATGAGGTTCTGAGATGCCTCACAGAAGTTGGCAAAGGACAGGCTGCGTTCCATTGCACGAGACTCTACCTCAGTGCGCTTGACCAGCAGGTCAGTGGAAGGACAGAGCTCGAATAAAGGGAAGTAGGTGCGCCAGCCTGACTCCATGATATCAATGTGCTTGGCATGGTGGCCCACAGCATGGGGATCAAGGAGAGCGCCCTGGACCGGAGCTTGGTGGGATTGCAGAGCATGAGAGAAGCAACTCTGAGCCAGAGCATATGGCATGAGAGGCGGAAAGTCACACAGGTAACCACCTGCGAATGCAGTTAGAATGGGACAGCAGGTGGTGTGAAGGCAGCAAAGAATAACATAGATGGAGTGAAGGCCCCAGAAAGGTAACAGATACAAGGTGGTGCGCAGGCACGGAAGTAGGAACAAAACTCGCACAAAGGTGTCCCAGTGCGAAGGCAACCAAGGAAAGGAGAGCTTACCAGGCTGGGAGATACTCCCTGGGGGGGGCTGAAGGATGAAGGGCGCACCCAGGGTGTTCCCATAAAGAGACTGAGCGTATCTAGAGAGAGCTTCTTCAGCAGCTCTTGAGGCAGCGGCAGCTACCTCCTCCTCGGTGAACAGACGAGGAGGCGGGCGGGAGATGCAAGATACAGGAGAGGAAGGAGGGGACCGCACAGATGGCAGAGGGGAAGGAGGGGAGTTGAAGGCATGGGGGGCAGCAGAGATGCTAGAGCCCCCCCAAGCCGGGAGGGAGGAAGGGCCAGCACCTGTAGAAGGACCTAGGGAAGGGGGTGCCAGAACGGCCCAA